TTAGCATGCGTGTGCCAGTGCTGTGTGTTAGCACGCGCCTGTGTCAGTGCTGTGTGTTAGCACGGTGTATCAGTGCTGTGCGTTAGCACGCCGTGGTCAGTGCTGTGTGTTAGCACGCCGTGTATCAGTGCTGTGCGTTAGCATGCGTGTGTCAGTGCTGTGTGCTCTAAGCATCATGTGCGCCCCCCCCCCCCCGTGTGCTGTGCACAGTGGGCTATGCGTGGCTGCCGTTGCTGCGTGAGGGCCGCGTGCGGACCGGCGTCTCCCAGCTCGCCGTGAGCGTCGCTGCCTGCCGGGTACCTCTCCTGCCAGAACATCGGCCTCGGCAAGGTAGCGCTTCCCACACGACATTACCCCACTCCTCTCACCCTCCCTCCTCCGCATCCTCCAAAGCTGTGGGCAGTGCTGAGTCTATGGGCAGTGCTGAGTCTATGGTGCAGTGCTGAGTCTATGGGCAGTGCTGATGCTATGGTGCAGTGTTGAGTTTGGGAAGTGAGTTTATGGATAGTGTTGAGTCTTTGGGCAGTATTGGTTATGGGTAGTGTTGAGTTTATGGTAGTGTTGAGTCTATGGGTAGTTGAGTTTATGGGTAGTGTTGAGTTTATGGGTAGTGTTGGCTGTGGTGCATTGTTGAGTCTATGGGCAGTGTTGAGTCTATGGGCAGTGTTGGTCTATGGGCAGTGTTGAGCTATGGGCAGTGTTGAGTATATGAGCAGTGTTGAGTCTGTGGTGCATTGTTGAGTCTATGGGCAGTGTTGAGTCTATGGGCAGTGCTGAGTCTATGGGCAGTGTTGAGTCTATGGGCAGTGTTGAGTCTATGGGTAGTGTTGAGTCTATGGGAAGTGTTGAGTCTATGGGTAGTGTTGAGTCTATGGGTAGTGCTGAGTCTATGGGCAGTGTGAGTTTATGTACAGTGTTGAGTCTGTGGTGCGTTGTTGAGTCTATGGGCAGTGCTGAGTCTATGGGCAGTGTTGAGTCTATGGGCAGTGTTGAGTCTATGGTGCAGTGCTGAGTCTATAGGCAGTGTTGAGTCTATGGGCAGTGCTGAGTCTATGGGCAGTGCTGAGTCTATGGGCAGTGTTGAGTCTATGGGCAGTGTTGAGTCTATGGTGCAGTGCTGAGTCTATAGGCAGTGTTGAGTCTGGGCAGTGCTGAGTCTCAGTGCTGAGTCTATGGGCAGTGTTGAGTCTATGGGCAGTGTTGAGTCTATGGGCAGTGTTGAGTCTATGGTGCAGTGCTGAGTCTATGGGCAGTGCTGAGTCTATGGCAGTGCTGAGTCTATGGGCAGTGTTGAGTCTATGGGCAGTGCTGAGTCTATGGTGCAGTGTTGAGTCTATGGGCAGTGTTGAGTCTATGGGCAGTGCTGAGTCTATGGGCAGTGCTGAGTCTATGGGCAGTGTTGAGTCTATGGGCAGTGCTGAGTCTATGGGCAGTGGTGAGTCTATGGGCAGTGCTGCTCAATGTGCAGGGGAAGTTGATTCAGTGGAGGGGTGCAAGGAGGGATATATTTATTGTATGTGTTGGATATTAAATTCTTGCCTGCCATAACCAGACAGCTGGAGAGATGACCTATGCACCACAATGCCAGGCATCATATCCAAAGCAACAAGCACACGTAACGATGAGCTCAACATGAGCGGAGCGCCAGGCGGATAATACGCAGAGAGTTGGCACATTGGGGAGCGCAGGCAGTGCATCTGCCGGTCATCTCAGTCAGTCAACTTATGGCACCCGGTTCTGGCCCGTGACCTCCTGCCAGCAGAGAGCTGTTCCACACTTCCCGTGGGCGCACCCGGCCTGGCACGAGCGTTGTGGTGACGGTTGTTGTTGTTGTCTTTGTGTCGCCGTCTCTGTGCAGTTTGTGGGCCCGGAGGTGAAGTGGGTGGAGGGAGGGAAGAGGCTCCTCACTGTGAGCACGCACCTCGTCTCCAGCATCTACACCAAGGGTGGCCACGCTCGGGGCTCACACACTTCTCTGCCATGCACGCGGCAGTCCACACTTTCATTCGGCCGTATAGGCGGCCTCGCGAACGCCTTAGCACTTTTAAGTTACAGTAAACACCTTCCGAGCCCCTTTTTTTAATCTCCGGCGTCTCCGATGAGTGCGGTTGGCTATGTACAATGCGAAAGAAGTTCGACATAGATACAACATGTGTACATAGGCATCCAACAAAGACGGTAACCGTATCGCGACCTTTCATATGCACTTCTGCAGCCGTCTGGAATGCCCTTCCTTCCGATATTAGGAAGCAACTGGAGCTATGCACTTTTAAATCTAGATTGAAAACTCATTAAAGTAGAATGTGTCTGCTTAGTTTGTTGTCTTTCCCCTGCAGAACCAATTCAGATGATCGTCACTGGTGTTGGCTGTGAGTGGGAATCGAATTCGGGTCGCCGTGTTCGTAGCGCACATGCACACACACACGTTGTGCACATACGATAACCGACCATGGTGTCTGCGTGCACAGGATCAATATCTTCACAACTTCATGCAGCAGTGCGAGTTCACCAAGTACGGCACGCTCACCGCGCCCAGAGACCTGCTCAACTCCATAAAGGTGCGCGTTACGCACGCACAGACGCACGCACGCACGCCCGTCCCCCGTGCAGCGTTATATACTGCCGAGGGGAAGGGCTTACTGGCCAGAGACTATTGAGGCCTTGCATGGGCACACGGGGTGTAGTTAGGGGCCTATCGAGGCCTTCGTGGTGCAGTCAGCACCGCACCCGCTCATCGTCCTCTCCCACGGTGCCGATTATTTAAATTCACGCCGGGTCCCCATTGAAGGCCCAGTTGACGGGCAGGGGGTCCAAAGGCCGGTTGAGATATCATTCACCTGCCACTGAGGTTAGACTGATGGCCTTAATCTAAGTTGTCTTGTGGTTGTTGTTGACTTGCATCCCACTGGGATTTTTGCACACAGCGTTGGTGTACGGTGTTTTTTCTGCAATATTTTGCTGTCTTTTCTTGGATTTTCTGTTTGCACTTAGTCACATATTCACTTTAAGATGTTTTTGTTTATGTTTTTGTTTTTGTTTGTTGCGGTTGCACCCGATCCAAGAGCCGAATGGCTCACAGGGCTACACCTAATAAATGAACTTGAACTTGATGTTGGCCGCGGCCAGGGATGGAACTCGTTTGGCCCGAGTTCGCAGCGTGGCTGGTGGTAATTTGTGGAGATGTTGGAGATGTCGGATGTTACGGTGATGTTGGGATCTCTCCCCTCAGCTCCCCACTGCTCTGCCCTCACCTCGCTTACCCTTCTCAGAGCTCAACGCCATCGAAGGCCACGCCATGATCAGCTTCGTGTCCACGTTGCTCACGCAGCTCGTCCACTTGCTCACGCTCACCGCCCAGGAGGAGATTCTGCTCACAACCACCAGGTTCCTCCGCAATGGGCCACTCACCTACGCTGGGACACTCGGTAATGGGCCACTCGGTAATGGGTCACTCGGTAATGGGTCACTCGGTAATGGGTCACTCGGTAATGGGTCACTCGGTAATGGGTCACTCGGTAATGGGCCACTCACCTCCACTGGGACACTCGGCAATGGGTCACTCGGTAATGGGTCACTCGGTAATGGGTCACTCGGTAATGGGTCACTCGGTAATGGGTCACTCGGTAATGGGTCACTCGTAATGGGTCACTCGGTAATGGCCACTCACCTCCACTGGGACACTCGGCAATGGGTCACTCGGTAATGGGTCACTCGGTAATGGGTCACTCGGTAATGGGTCACTCGGTAATGGGTCACTCGGTAATGGGTCACTCGGTAATGGGTCACTCGGTAATGGGTCACTCGGTAATGGGTCACTCGGTAATGGGTCACTCGGTAATGGGCCACTCACCTCCACTGGGACACTCGGCAATGGGTCACTCAGTAATGGGCCACTCGTAATGGGTCACTCGGTAATGGGTCACTCGGTAATGGGTCCTCGGTAATGGGTCACTCGGTAATGGGTCACTCGGTAATGGGCCACTCACCTCCACTGGGACACTCGGCAATGGGTCACTCGGTAATGGGCCACTCGGTAATGGGTCACTCGGTAATGGGTCACTCGGTAATGGGTCACTCGGTAATGGGTCACTCGGTAATGGGTCACTCGGTAATGGGCCACTCACTCCACTGGGACACTCGGCAATGGGTCACTCGGTAATGGGCCACTCGGTAATGGGTCACTCGGTAATGGGTCACTCGGTAATGGGTCACTCGGTAATGGGTCACTCGGTAATGGGTCACTCGGTAATGGGCCACTCACCTCCACTGGGACACTCGGCAATGGGTCACTCGGTAATGGGCCACTCGGTAATGGGTCACTCGGTAATGGGTCACTCGGTAATGGGTCACTCGGTAATGGGTCACTCGGTAATGGGTCACTCACCTCCACTGGGACACTCGGCAATGGGTCACTCGGTAATGGGCCACTCGGTAATGGGTCACTCGGTAATGGGTCACTCGGTAATGGGTCACTCGGTAATGGGTCACTCGGTAATGGGTCACTCGGTAATGGGCCACTCGGTAATGGGTCACTCGGTAATGGGCCACTCGGTAATGGGTCACTCGGTAATGGGTCACTCGGTAATGGGTCACTCGGTAATGGGCCACTCGGTAATGGGTCACTCGGTAATGGGCCACTCGGTAATGGGTCACTCGGTAATGGGTCACTCGGTAATGGGTCACTCGGTAATGGGCCACTCGGTAATGGGTCACTCGTAATGGGTCACTCGGTAATGGGCCACTCGGTAATGGGTCACTCGGTAATGGGCCACTCGGTAATGGGTCACTCGGTAATGGGCCACTCGGTAATGGGTCACTCGGTAATGGGTCACTCGGTAATGGGTCACTCGGTAATGGGCCACTCGGTAATGGGTCACTCGGTAATGGGTCACTCGGTAATGGGCCACTCGGTAATGGGTCACTCGGTAATGGGTCACTCGGTAATGGGTCACTCGGTAATGGGCCACTCGGTAATGGGTCACTCGGTAATGGGTCACTCGGTAATGGGCCACTCGGTAATGGGTCACTCGGTAATGGGTCACTCGGTAATGGGTCACTCGGTAATGGGCCACTCGGTAATGGATCACTCGGTAATGGGTCACTCGGTAATGGGTCACTCGGTAATGGGTCACTCGGTAATGGGCCACTCACCTCCACTGGGACACTCGGCAATGGGTCACTCGGTAATGGGCCACTCGGTAATGGGTCACTCGGTAATGGGTCACTCGGTAATGGGTCACTCGGTAATTGGGTCCTCGGTAATGGGATCACTCGGTATAGGGGCCACTCGGTAATGGGTCACTCGGTAATGGGCCACTCGGTAATGGTCACTCGGTAATGGGGTCCCTCGGTAATGGTCCATCGTAATGGGCCACTCGGTAATAGGGTCACTCGGTAATGGGTCACTCGGTAATGGGCCACTCGGTAAATGGGTCACTCGGTATGGGTCACTCGTAATGGGTCACTCGGTAATGGCCACTCGGTAATGGGTCACTCGGTATGGGTCACTCGGTAATGGGCCACTCGGTAATGGGTCACTCGGTAATGGGTCACTCGGTAATGGGTCACTCGGTAATGGGCCACTCGGTAATGGGTCACTCGGTAATGGGTCACTCGGTAATGGGTCACTCGGTAATGGGCCACTCGCCTCCACTGGGGCACTCGGTAATGTGCCTCTCGTCAGTGGGCCACTGATTTTCACAGGGCCACTCAGTAATGGGCCACTCAGTAATGGATCACTCAGTAATGGGCCACTCGGTAATGGGTCAGGGGTCACTCAGTAATGGATCACTCAGTAATGGATCACTCAGTAATGGGTCAGGGGTCACTCAATAATGGGCCACTCAGTAATGGGTCACTCGCTAATGGGTCAGGGGCCACTCAGTAATGGATCACTCAGTAATGGGTCAGGGGTCACTCAGTAATGGGTCACTCGGTAAAGGGTCACTCGGTAATGGGTCACTCAGTAATCGATGTGCTGTGTGTGCGTGCCTTGTGTGTGTGTGCCGCGTGTGTGTGTGCCGCGTGTGTGTGTGCCGTGTGTGTATGTGCCGTGTGTGTGTGTGCCGCGTGTGTGTGTGCCGTGTGTGTGTGTGCCATGTGTGGTGTGTGCCGTGTGTGTGGCCGCGCAGCTTCCTGGTGCACTTTGTGGACCGGTGCCACGAGGAGGAGCAGGACCACCACCTGCACTCGTACACTCGGGTGAGGATGCGCCTGCCACTCACCGCTTGCACAGAAGCCGCGATGGTCGTGATGATGATGATGGCAGTGGCGATGACTATGGAGAAAAATTACAATGATGATTTTTCGATTTAAAGCTTTCGTGACTGCAGGGGTTCATCTTCTTGGTTCTTTCGGTGAAGTCACGTAGAAGGGAAATAATAAAATAATAAAAATAAAACATAATAAAATACAATTCTCACGACGTTTCGGCCACAACGCAAGCAGCCGTCTTCAGGTGGAGAACAGGTCTGTCGGGGAGACAGCGTGTCCCCGACAGACCTGGACGGCTGCTTGCGTTGTGGCCGAAACGTCGTGAGAATAATTTTATGATGTTTTATTTTATTATTTTATTATCTCCATTCTACGTGACTTTACCGAAAGAACCAAGAAGATACAATGATGATGTTTGGTGATGATGATGGTGGTGATGACGGCAATGATGAACATGATAGTGGTGGTGATGACGATGGAGATGATGACGATGGAGATGGTGGTGATGATGACGACGGTGATGACTGGCTGTGACGACGGTGCCGATGGCCGCGTGCTCGCAGTACGTGTTCAAGGCGGAGCCGTGGGACGAGCAGAGCGGCCGCACGACGCACGAGGAGCTCGTGAGGACTATGGAGCTGCTTCTCGGCTCCTCCGTGGACCAGCAGCTCAACAGCAAGCTGCTGAAGGCACGCTCGCCCAGCCACACAAAGATCCCCCGTGTAGCCTTCACAGACTGTAGGGGCAAATGCTGCTAGCGAGCACCTATGAAGGCCGGCACGGCACACGAGGGGGTGGGTGGCCAGCACCACGCCCGGCCGCCTTTGTCTCCCCAGTGGCGATGTTTGCACATCACACCACGTACTCACTTGAGGCTGAGTCGACCTAGGGGAGGGCCAGGACCGGTTCAGATAATCGTCACTGGTGTTGGCCGTGAGCGGGAATCGAACCCGGGTGGCCAAGTTCGTAGCGCAGCGTAGCGCTAACCACTACACCACCGCTTCTACCCACACACACGCACACTGGCCAACGCTCACCCACACTCACCCACACTCGCTTTCACTCACCCACACTCACCCACACTCACCCACATTCGCTCACTGTATCTTACGGTGTTCATTTTGACTTCTCTCCTCCGTGTCCAACAGCACCTGTGGTTTTTCTTCGGGATCATCAGCAAGTCTATGGCTCAGCACGTCATAGAGAACCAGCGGCTGTCGGTAAGCAGCTGACGAGCGTCTCGCGGTCACACCTCGGCCCACATAACCCCCTCACTCACCACTCCTCATCACCCCCCCCTCACTCAGCTACTCCACACGCAATCGCCCGGCTCGGCCACCCCGATGTGAAACCCACGGCTGCTGGTCGACATGAACGAACATGGAGATCCCCCCCACCCACCCAACCCCCCTTCATCTCTGCTTTAGGTTCATAGATTCTTTAGAGCATTTGGCTGCTGCTATTCATGTCCACCTGGTAAGCCACTTCGTTGAGCTATCGCTGGGCTTTACCTGGTTAAAATATTTGTTGTTAAATGTGTTTACTGATTTGATTTACTTTACCCTGCGATCCTCTCGCGTTTTCGTATCGTTTGTCGCTGTGACGATCTGACCCCGTGCCCCTACTGCACATCTGTGCGAAAAGCGCCTTCACAGCTAAACGGATTCCTCCTGCGAATAAATATTCCGGTTCTGATTGGATAAACTCGCGGATGTTTGAAACCTCGAGGTCCTTAACCGGCGGAAGCGGCGGCGGCTCAGCATTTTGCCTTCTCCGAGCCGTTAGCCGGCCACCTCGGTGTGCCCCCCTCCGTCATCCCCCCCCCGTCATCCTGAGCGAGGCTGCTTCACCGAAACGCCGGAGGCGGTGGCCTGTCTGCCGATCTCGGCACCGAACCGCTGCGCCCTACTTGTGTTTGCCCGCGCGCGCGTCGCAGCTGAAGCGGAGCGAGCGCTTCCCGGCATCGTTCCACCGCAACCTCGACTCGATGGTGACGCAGCTGAGCAAGCACGTGCCGAGGATTCACCGGGACACGGGCGAGGAGGCTCGCAGTGCCAACGTCAGCCTGGCTGCCTTCCTGATGGTCAGTGGCGCTTCCCTGTGTGCCTGTCGTCGCCGCCGCTGCGTCGCTGTGATAATCGCTGCATCTTCATCGTCATCGCCCTGTGTCTTATCGTCATCGTGGTGATCAGTGTCTTCACTGCATCTTCACTGTTTATCCTTCATCATCGTCACTGCATCTTCATCATCTTCACTGTTTATCCTTCAACATCACCTTCACTGCGTCTCCATACCCTCGAAAGGGGCGCTCTCTAGAGCCCCCATCTGATGTAGGCCACATCCCCGAGCACGCGGCGTGAGCAGGGAATTGCAGGGCTGCACCTTAACCCCGTGACTCCAGTGCCGCGGTGACGATCCGAGACCGCGTGTACCCCCCACAGCGCTGCTTCACTCTCATGGACCGCGGATTCGTCTTCCGCCTCATCAACTCCTACATCACGAGCTTCCCCATCATGGACTCCAAGGTGAGACCGTCGCTCCACCACTCCCCCCCCGTGCCGCCACCTCCCTCCCCCGCCCCCCCCCTCCTCCGCCCCCCCCTCTCCCGCCCCCCCCAGCTGACACCGTCCCTGTCGTGTCGTCACCGCAGAGGACGTTCGACTTCCGCATCGAGTTCCTGCAGATCGTGTGCAACTACGAGCACTACGTGCCGCTCAACCTGCCCGTGCACGCGGAGCCCGGACCAGCGCAGCGCCCACAAGGTGGGGGGCAGGCGTGGGGGGCAGGCGGGCGAGGGGGGGGGCGTCATTAGGCTCGCTCGGCATCACGGGTAACGTCCCGCGTCGAAAAATAACCGCAAAACACCGAGCTTGGGAAATGTTTTAATGATGATACCCATCATCATTATCTCCGTCTCTCCTGTATCCCCCCCATCTCAACCATACTCCCCCACGCCGCCCCCCCATTCCCCCCCCTCCCCCGCCGACCCCCCATTCCCCCCCCCAGTGCCGGCTCCGTGGGAGTTCCGCGCGGGCGACGACTTCTGCCGCCGCCGCGTGCTGGCCGGGATGCTGCTGCGCGAGGCGGCGGTGGCGGCGGGGGAGACGCTGGGGGGCGAGTCACGGCGAGCGGCGCTCGGGGTGGTGCGCTCGCTACTCACCAAGCACTCGCTGGACGACCGCTATGCGCAGCCCGTGAGTCGTCCTCATGCCGGCACCTCACCCCCCGCCACCACCCAGGCCCACGCGGCGAGGTTCTGTTTCTCTCGCATTGAAGGTCACCGGGAGGTCGCTGCTGTTCCGGCGAGCCTCGTGAGCGGCCGCGTGTCACACTCCGGCTCGAGGGCTCCTCCCCCGGTCGCTCGCCCTCACGCTCGCCCTCACGCTCGCTTGCCCTCACGCTCGCTCGCCCTCACGCTCGCTCGCTCGCCCTCACGCTCGCTCGCTCGCCCTCACGCTCGCTCGCCCTCACGCTCGCTCGCCCTCACGCTCGCTCGCCCTCACACTCGCTCACTCACCCAGCACGGCATAGGAGTCAACCCATAACACCTGGGTCTGTGCCGTGACCTCCTGCACCCAGCCTGGCACATCAGTTCAACCCATAACACCTGAGTTTGTGTCGTGACGTTCTGCACTTAGGCTGGCACATCGGTCAACCCATAACACCTGGGTCTGTGTCCGTGACCTCCTGCCAGCAGCGAGAGATGTTATGTGTCACGTGACGGCCTCAAAGTGCACCTAGCCTGGCGCAAGCACTGTGGTGACGTTCCCATCACATAGTTGGGTGTGTGTGCAAACTCAGCGGTGGCGCAGCGGTTAATGCGCTGCGCTATCTGAACTTGTCCTGGACCTCCCCTAAGTAGACTTAGCCTTAAAATAGTAGCTGGTTCAGTGTGTAAAATCAAAGGCGGTCGGGCGTGGTGCTGGCCACCCACCCCCCGGTGTGCCGTGCCGGCCTTCATAGGCACTGAGCAGCACTTGCACCAACCAGTCCGTTGAGGCTACGCGGGTGATCTTTGTCTTTTGCAGGCCCAGCAATCCCGTGTGGCGATGCTGTACCTGCCGATCCTCTCCATCCTGCACGACAACTACACCCGCATGTGCTTCCAGGCGGTGGTCACCTCCGACAGCAACCCCATCCCACAGCCGGTACCAGCAGCAGCAGCAGCACCAGGCTTCACAGTGCAGTGGAGAAGCCTCCAAACCCATCGCCACGATCCTCAGAGATTGGAATCACAGCAGCTTTTGGCTAGCCATTGAGAGGGGGGAGGTAGGAGAGCACGTGGAGGGGAGCCAAGTGAGATGAGAGGGGAGTAGAGTGAGATGAGAGGGGAGAGGTAGGAGTGTGCGTGGAGGGGAACCGAGTGAGATGAGTGGGGAGAGGTAGGAGAGTGCGTGGAGGGGAGCCGAGTGAGATGAGTGGGGAGAGGTAGGAGAGTGCGTGGAGGGGAGCCGAGTGAGATGAGAGGGGAGAGGTAGGAGAGTGCGTGGAGGGGAGCCGAGTGAGATGAGTGGGGAGAGGTAGGAGAGTGCGTGGAGGGGAGCCGAGTGAGTTGAGAGGGGAGAGGTAGGAGAGTGTGTGGAGGGGAGCCGAGTGAGATGAGAGGGGAGAGGTAGGAGAGTGCGTGGAGGGGAGCCAAGGGAGATGAGAGGGGCGAGGTAGGAGAGTGCATGGAGGGGAGCCGAGTGAGATGAGAGGTGAGAGGTAGGAGCGTGCGTGGAGGGGAGTAGAGTGAGATGAGAGGGGAGAGGTAGGGGAGTGCGTGGAGGGGAGTAGAGTGAGATCAGAGGGGAGAGGTAGGAGAGTGCGTGGAGGGGAGCCGAGTGAGATGAGAGGGGAGAGGTAGGAGAGTGCGTGGAGGGGAGTGGAGTGAGATGAGAGGAGAGAGGCAGGAGAGTGCGTGGAGGGGAGTAGAGTGAGATGAGAGGGGAGAGGCAGGAGAGTGCGTGGAGGGGAGTAGAGTGAGATGAGAGGGGAGAGGCAGGAGAGTGCGTGGAGGGGAGTAGAGTGAGATGAGAGGGAGAGGTAGGAGAGTGCGTGGAGGGGAGTAGAGTGAGATGAGAGGGGAGAGGTAGGAGAGTGCGTGGAGGGGAGTAGAGTGAGATGAGAGGGGAGAGGTAGGAGAGTGCGTGGAGGGGAGTGGAGTGAGATGAGAGGGGAGAGGTAGGAGAGTGCGTGGAGGGGAGTAGAGTGAGATGAAAGGGGAGAGGTAGGAGAGTGCGTGGAGGGGAGTGGAGTGAGATGAGAGGGGAGAGGTAGGAGAGTGCGTGGAGGGAAGTAGAGTGAGATGAAAGGGGAGAGGCAGGAGAGTGCGTGGAGGAGAGTAGAGTGAGATGAGAGGGGAGAGGTAGGAGAGTGCATAGAGGGGAGTAGAGTGAGATGAGAGGGGAGAGGCAGGAGAGTGCGTGGAGGGGAGTGGAGTGAGATGAGAGGGGAGAGGTAGGAGAGTGCGTGGAGGGGAGTAGAGTGAGATGAGAGGGGAGAGGTAGGAGAGTGTGTGGAGGGGACTAGATTGAGTTGAGAGGGGAGAGGCAGGAGAGTGCGTGGAGGGGAGTAGAGTGAGATGAGAGGGGAGAGGCAGGAGAGTGCGTGGAGGGGAGTGGAGTGAGATGAGAGGGGAGAGGTAGGAGAGTGCGTGGAGGAGAGTAGAGTGAGATGAGAGGAGAGGTAGGAGCATGCGTGGAGGGGAGTGGAGTAAGATGAGAGGGGAGAGGTAGGAGAGTGTGTGGAGGGGAGTAGAATGAGATGAGAGGGGAGAGGTAGGAGAGTGCGTGGAGGGGAGTAGAGTGAGATGACAGGGGAGAGGTAGGAGAGTGCGTGGAGGGGAGTAGAGGGAGATGAGAGGGGAGAGGTAGGAGAGTGTGTGGAGGGGAGTAGAGTGAGATGAGAGGAGAGAGGTAGGAGAGTGCGTGGTGGGGAGTAGAGTGAGATGAGAGGGGAGAGGTAGGAGAGTGCGTGGAGGGGAGTAGAGTGAGATGAGAGGGGAGAGGTAGGAGAGTGTGTGGAGGGGAGTAGAGTGAGATGAGAGGGGAGAGGTAGGAGAGTGCGTGGTGGGGAGTAGAATGAGATGAGAGGGGAGAGGCAGGAGAGTGCGTGGTGGGGAGTCGAGTGAGATGAGAGGGGAGAGGTAGGAGAGTGCGTGGAGGGGAGTAGAGTGAGATGAGAGGGGAGAGGTAGGAGAGTGCGTGGTGGGGAGTAGAATGAGATGAGAGGGGAGAGGTAGGAGAGTGCGTGGAGGGGAGTAGAGTGAGATGAGAGAAGAGAGATAGGAGAGTGCGTGGTGGGGAGCCGAGTGAGATGAGAGGGGAGAGGTAGGAGAGTGCGTGGTGGGGAGGAGAGTGAGATGAGAGGGGACAGAGGTAGACATTGGCAAACATACGGAAGACCTCAACAACAAAGCCCCATTCAGTGACGCTTGCCTTAATGAACCATTGTCATTGGCTATGACTATTATTGTTGTCGTTATTAATGTGTGTTGAACTCCTTTCGCGCCGTACGTAGCCAACCGTGCTAATCGGAGGTGCGGGGGAAGGACAACAAGCTAAACATAAAAATCAGTTCTAAAGAAATGAGTTTTCAATCTAGATGATTTAAAAGTGGCATAGCCCCGGTGGCTTCCTAATTTGGGAAGGAAGAGCGTTCCAGACGGCCGCAGAAGCGCATCTGAAAGCGCCACGCGATGCGGTGACCACCGCCTTTGTTCGATGTCCGGCCAAAAGCCGCTGCTGGTTTCCCTGACGAGATCAGCGAGGTTTTGTGGTTCATTTGTGGCAAGCACTTCGTGTGTAATCAGTGCCACCTAATGACGTATTCGTTCGGCAAGCGGAAGCCAGTACAGCTTCTTCTTGGTTCTTTCGGTAAAGTCACGTAGAAGGGAAGTAATAAAATAATAAAAATCAAACATAATAAAATAATTCTCACGACGTTTCAGCCACAACGCAAGGTCTGTCGGGGGAGACAGCGTCTGAATTCAGACGCTGTCTCCCCGACAGACCTGGTCTTCACCTGAGGACGGCTGCTTACGTTGTGGCCGACACGTCGTGAGAATTATTTTATTATGTTTAATTTTATTATTTTATTATTTCCCTTCTACGTGACTTTACCGAAAGAACCAAGAAGATGAATCCCTGCAGTCACGAAAGCTTTAAATCGAAATTTCATTATGTTTTATTTTTATTATTTTATTACTTCCCTTCTACGTGACTTTACCGAAAGAACCAAGAAGATGAATCCCTGCAGTCACGAAAGCTTTAAATCGAAATTATTTTATTATGTTTAATTTTTATTATTTTATTATTTCCCTTCTACGTGACTTTACCGAAAGAAGCAAGAAGATGAATCCCTGCAGTCACGAAAGCTTTCAATCAAAATAAATCCAGTACAGCTCGGTGAGCACCGGCCGGATACCGTCGGATCTTGCAGGGCCCTCCTGTGCAAGGGGCCTTGACAAAGCAGTGAGGCCTTCACCCATTCATCAGTGACGTTGACGTTACGGTGATGCCGATGCCAATTGCAGAGCCCCAGGGAAGACGTTCTGAATCACGCGTTGCCCAAGAGCGCTTCCAACACCCTGGAGGTGGCAGCCTTCACCTTCCCCTCCACACTGAGCGGTGAGCAGAGCTCAGTGAGCAGTGCACCTCCCTGTGCATGTGTGTTTGTGTTTGGGGAGCGGTGGCGTAGCGGTTAGCGCACTGTGCTACGAAGCCGGTGACCCGAGTTCGATTCCCGCTCACGGTCAACACCAGTGACGGTTACTTGAACCGGTCATGGGCATCCCCTAGATCGACTCAGACTCAAATTGGTACCTGCTGCGGGGTGTAAACATCCCCACTGGGGAGACAAAGGCGGTCGGGCGTGGTGCTGGCCGCCCCCACCCCTCGTGTGCCGTTCTGGCCTTCATAGGTGCTCACTAGCAGCACTTGCCCCAACAGTCTGTTAAGGCTACACGGGGGATCTTTGTCTTTGTCTTGTATCAATGTGTGGGGGAGTGGTGGTGCTTTACATTCTTCTGGGATTCCTCGTAGTCGAGTAAAGATGCCCCTGCAGGTGTCTCCACTTGTCGGTGTTGTGAGGTGGACCTGGCTGTCCATGGGTCCGGAGATGGCTGAACAGGCCACTCCGTGACCTGCAGATCTTGGCACAGTGTGAGCTCCAGGATGTTCCCTCCTGGAGCTCACACTCGCTGTTGTCTGCCTCTGGTGTATGTTGCTTTGAGTCGTGCTCTTTGCCTGGCTATCAACTTTCTTCGCTCGGCCTCAAAACGCTGAGTTCCATTGTTTATTTTGGCCATCCATGATGGTCCATCAAGCGCATGGATTTCCCAGTTGTTTGAATCTGTGTGGCTTCGCATGAGGTGCATTTTAACGTTGTCACGGAAACGCTTCATTTGACCTCCGGGGGCAACGTGATCCATCGCTGAGCTGGGAATAGAAGATTTGCTTAGGAAGCCATTCATCCTCGCAAGGTGACCTGCCCATCTGAGTTGATGCTTGATCATGATGATGGCCTCTATGCTGGACGAGTTGGATCGATCCAGGACACCGATATTAGTTCGTCTTTCTTCCCAGGCGACGTTCAGTATTTTCCTGAGACAGCATTGATGAAACATTTCGAGAGATTTGACGTGTTTACCATAGGCGGTCCAGGTTTCTGCACCACCACGTAAGAGGGTTGGAATGATCACAGCATTATTCACAGCTACTTTGGCCTTGGTGGTGGTAATGTCGTGGTCTTCAAAGAACCTCCTGGGGTAATCCGATGTTGGATTTCACAATCAAGACATTGCTGGAGAGATGGCTGCCTAAGTATGTGAAACTGGGAACGTTTTCTAATATTGCTTCATTTGACCTCCGAACCCGGCGACCCGATTTTGATTCTCGCTCACGGCGAGCACCACAGTGACGATTTCTTGAACTGGTCCTGGGTCTCCCCCAGGTCGACTCAGCCTCAAATGAGTGGCTGGTGCCATGTGTATACACCCCCACCTGGGAGATAAATGGCGGCCGGGCGTGGTGCTGGCCGCCCACCCCCTCGTGTGCCGTGCCGGCCTTCATAGGCGCTCGCTAACAGCACTTGCCACGACAGTCTGTTAAGGCTACACGGGGGATCTTTGTCTTTCAGTGGGAGCCAAGAGGGGAGATTCTCGCCTCTCGGTCGCGAGCTCCGACTCCAACTCGAGCCTCCACGAACGCAGGAACACAATGGACCAGGTGAATCCTCCAGCTGCAGCCAAGCCCTAACGTTCACTCTACTCACTACTCATCATCATCTTTCATGATCATCTCTCATCATCATCTCTCATGATCATCTCTCATCATCATCTCTCATCATCATCTCTCATGATCATTTCTCATCATCATCTCTCATCATCATGATCATCTCTCATCATCAACACCGTGGATCAGTTGACTCCTCCAGCTGCAGCCCTGCCCGAACGCTCACTCTACTCACAACTCATCATCATCATCTCTCATGATCATCTCTCATCATCATCTCTCATCATCATCTCTCATGATCATCTCTCATCATCAACACCGTGGACCAGGTGACTCCTCCAGCGGCAGCCCTGCCCTAACGCTCACTCTACTCATCACTCTCATGGCATGTGTGTGGCGTGCGTGTGGCATGTGTGGCATGCGTGTGTATTGTGCGAGTGTATCGAGCGTGTGTGTGGCGTATGTGTCGTGTGTGCCGTGTGTGTCGTGTGGGCTGGCGTGCGTGTGTGTCGTGTGTATTGTGTGTGTCGTATGTGTGTGGTTTGGTGTGTTGTGTGCCGTGTGTGTCGTGTGTGTGTATCGTGTGTGTGGTGGTGTGCGTTGTATGTGTGTTGTATGTGTGTGGTGTGTGTGGTGGTGTGTGTGTGTCGTGCGTGTGTGTGTGGTGTGCCGTGTGTGTGGTGGTGTGCCGTGTGTGTGTGGTGTGCGTGTGGTGTGTGTGTGTGTCGTGTGTGTGGTGTGCGTGTGGTGTATCGTGTGTGCGTGTGGTGTTTGTGGTGGTGTGCGTCACCGTCCACAGGCGGCGACGCTCGTGCTGCGGCCGGACGTGCTGCACGTGGTGGACGTGCAGACGCTGCTGCTGTGCTTCCTGCACGTGGTCAAGCACGCCCCCCCAGGTGACCCCCCTACCCAGCCCCTCCCCTCACCACCCCCTACCCAGCCCCTCCCCTCACTACCCCCCTACCCAGCCTCCCCCACCACCACCCACTGCCCGAATGGCACGTGACAAGCTTTTGAAAACGGTTAACCACGCTCGCCACCTCGCCACGCTCACCACGCTCGCCACCTCGCCACGCTCACCACGCTCACCACGCTCGCCACCTCGCCACGCTCACCACGCTCACCACGCTCACCACACTCACCACACTCACCACGCTCGCCACGCTCGCCACGCTCGCCACGCTCGCCACGCGTGCCGTCACCAGATCGAGTCGTTGTTTTGGTCGTGGCGTGCTGCGTCTCTCCACGTGCATGCCGAAATTGGACCGTTCGCTAATGAAATTCGGCTCGTGGCGAATCGCTAACACACTTTATACATGTCGAAAGCGCAGCCATGCCGAATTATCCCCGATTACGAATGCTCAAATACCGAAATAACGAGGTTTTACTGTATATGTAATCGGCGAGGTTTTGGGCAGTGGTCCTTCATGGTGCGCTTTCAGATGCGCTTCTGCGGCCGTCTGGAACGTTCTTCCTTCCGATATTAGAAAGCCACAGGAGCTATGCCACTTTGAAATCTGAGTTGAAAACCCATTTCTTTAGAAGTGCTTTTAGTGTTTAGTTTGTTGTCCTTCCCCCCTCCGCTTCTCCAATTAGCATGATTGGCTCCGCACGGCGCGAAAGAAGTACAACATACACACATACTGAGGCGGTCGAGCGTGGTGCTGGCCACCAAGTTTTACTCCCTTGTGTGCCGTGTCGGTCCTTTATCGGTGCTACTCGCAAACAACACTTGCCCCAACAGTCTGTTAGATGCTACATGGGGAATCTTTGTCTTTGTCCCACAGATGCCCTGCTCAACTATTGGAGGAAGACCTCCAGCAATGAAATGTTGGACTTCTTCGGGATTCTAGAGTGAGTGACAATCAGAGCAGAAACACGTGTCCACACGGACAACAATAACAACAGCCCCTATTCGCCACTAAGTGGTGGTGACATCATCACAGCACTTGTGCCAGGCTGGGTGCACGTTGAGGCCACGGGAAGTGTGGAAGACACGCTGGTGGCAGGAGGTCGTGGTACAGACCCAGGTGTTTTGGGTTAATTTCCTGAGATCACTGGCAGATGCACCACCTTCGATGGCTTCTGTGCCAACTTGCTGCATTTTAGCTGCCCGGCGCTCCGCTCGTTGTTCTGACCATCGTTCCTCCGCCCTCCGATGGTCTTGGAGGTCGACTACCTCCAAATGTCCAGTAGTGTCCTTCACGAGTTGTGTGCTGTGTGTGATGTGAGAGCTGTGTGTGAGCTGTGTGTAGGGTGCGACGGTGGTGAGATGGTTCTCAGGAGGTCGTGGGTTCGATCCCAACCCTAACGCCTGCTATATATTTGGAATTTGCGTTTCTCTCTCCCCGTGGTCACGTGGATTTTTTTTGGGGGTCCTCCTGTTTTTCCCTCCGCATTTAGAACCACGCGTTTAGACTGTTTGGCTGCTATAAATGTCCACGTGATGATAAGCCACTTCGCTGAGCTCTCATTTGTGGCCAGGACACATCTGAAAAAAGCTACATGGCTCAGTGAGCCTTACCTGGTAAATACAAAATAGGTTTCGTAAAAAAAATGTTTTTAGGTACATATGTGTCCTATGTGTGTGTATTGTGTACATGTGTGTGCTGTGTATGTGTGCGTGTGTTATATGTGAGAGCTGTTTGTGAACTGTGTGTGTGCTGTGAGTGTTGTGTACGTGTGTTGTGTGTGCTGTGTGTGCACTGTTTGTGTGCGTGTGTGTGCTGTGTGTGTGTGCTGTGTGTGTGTTGTGTGTGTGTGCTGTGTGTGTGCTCTGTGTGTGTGCTGTGTGTGTTGTATACGTATGCTGTGTGTGCTGTGTGTGTGTGTGCTGTGTGTGTGTGTGCTGTGTGTGTATGCTGTGTGTGTGCTGTGTGTGTGTGCTGTGTGTGTGCTGTGTGTGCTGTGTGTGTGCTGTGTGTGTTGTATACGTATGCTGTGTGTGCTGTTTGTGTGTGTGCTGTGTGTGTGATGTGTGTGTGTGCTGTGTGTATGCTGTGTGTGTGCTGTGTGCTGTGTGTGTGCTGTGTGTATGCTGTGTGTGTGCTGTGTGTGTGTGTGCTGTGTGTGTGCTGTGTGTGTTGTGTGTGTGCTGTGTGTGTGCTGTGTGTGTGCTGTGTGTGTTGTGTATATTGTGAGTGTTGTGTGTGTGCTGTGCGTGTGCTGTGTGTGTGCTGTGTGTGTTCTGTGTGTGTGCTGTGTGTGTGCTGTGTGTGTTCTGTGTGTGTGTGTTGTGTGTGCTGTGTGTGTGTGCTGTGTGTGTGCTGTGTGTGTGCTGTGTGTGCTGTGTATGCTGTGTGTGTGCGCTGTGTGTGTGCGCTGTGTGTGTGCGCTGTGTGTGCTGTGTGTGTGCTGTGTGTGTGCTGTGTGTGTGCTGTGTATGCTGTGTGTGTGCTGTGTGTGTGTGTGCTGTGTGTGCTGTGTGTGCTGTGTATGCTGTGTGTGTGCTGTGTGTGTGTGCTGTGTGTGTGCTGTGTGTGTGCTGTGTGTGCTGTGTGTGTGCTGTGTGTGTGCTGTGTGTGTGTTCTGTGTGTGTATGTGTGTGTGCTGTGTATATGTGTATGTGTGTGTGCTGTGTATATGTGTATGTGTGTGTGCTGTGTGTGTGTGTGCTGTGTGCTGTGTGTGTTGTGTGCTGTGTGTGTGATGCCTCTCCCTGTGCTCTCTTACAGGTTGTGTCTGCACCAGTTTAAATACCTGGGCAAGCGCCACTACTCCAGCAGGTGACTCCCTGCGTTACTCACGTCATTCAACCGAGTCAGCGTCACAGCGTGCACAGTGTGATGTATCTGGAGTGCAGGCTCCCAGAATGCACTGCGTGCCGTAACAGTATTCTTCAAAGTCACAGGAGTTACACTGCAGTCCGTGTGTGTGTGTGTGTCTTTGTGCATGTGGCGTGTAACCGTGTGGGGAGCGGCAGTGTAGCGGTGTGCGCGCAGCACTACGGACCTGGCGACTCGAGTTTGATTCCTGCTCATGGCCACAAACGCCAGTGACGGTTATCCGAACGGGTCGACTCAGCCTCAAATGAGTACCAGGCGCGGCGTGTAAACATCACCACGTGAGAGACAAAGGCGGGCTGGGACGTGGCGCTGGCCACCCACCCCGTCGTGTGCCGTGCCAACCTTAACAGGTGCTTCGCTTACAGCACTTGCCCCGACAGTCTGTTAAGGCTACACGGGGGATCTTTGCCTTTGTCTTCGTGTGTGCGTGCGTGTGCAGTGCAGGGGAGGGCCCGCCGGCATCGGTGTGTGCACCTGTTCCGGGGGCACAGGTGAAGCGCTCTCAGACGCTGCCCGCGCGTCGCCCCCCACACACGCTGCTGCAGCTGAGACAGCACGGAGGGCTGCTGGGCAGCAGCATGGGTAATGCTCGCCAGCTCAGACACACACACAGACAAAGATCCCCCATATAGCCTTAACAGGCTGGAGGGGCAAGTGCTGTTAGCGAGCACCTATGAAGGCCGCAACGGTACACGAGGGGGTGGGTGGCCAGCACCACGCCCGACCGCCTTTGTTTCCCTAGCGGCGATGTTTACACATCGCTCCGGGTACTCATTTGAGGCTGAGTCGACCTAGGGGAGGCCCAGGACCAGTTCAGATAATCGTCACTGGTGATGGCCGTGAGCGGGAATCGAACCCGGGTCGCCAAGTTCGTAGTGCAGCGCGCTAACCGCTACACTACCGCTCCCCACACTCACACACACACATACACACACCGCCACGGTCAGAAAACACGCTGGGGCTCCGCAAGCCAGACACACATCCAAACATACACACACACACATACAGATATTCGTGCATATGCATTTACAAAGATAAATACAAAGATATAATGCCACTTAGATATCTACGTAGATATCGACGTGACTTTACCGAAAGACCCAAAGAATATGAATTCCTGCAGTCACGAAAGCTTTAAGTCGAGATTTAAATACAAAGATGCCTCCGTATAGCCTTTAACAGACTGTTGGGGCAAGTGCTGTTAGCGAGCAGCTAGTGAGGCTGGGAATGAGGGATGCGATGTGCGGACGTGAGGAGTTTGTTGTTGGGATGCGTTTTTCCCTTCACGTGGAGCATCTCTCTCCTCTCCGTGACCTTCCGTGACCCCTCCCTCTGTCTCTCCCCTCCGTGACCCTCCGTGACCCCTCCCTCTCTCTCTTTCCTCCGTGACCCCCCCGTGACCCCTCCCTCTCTCCCCTCCGTAACCCCCGTGACCCTCCGTGACCCCTCCCTCTCTCTCTCCGTGACCCTCCGTGACCTCTCCCTCTCTCTCTCCCCTCCGTGACCCTCCGTGACCCCCCCCCGTGACCCCTCTCTCTCTCCCTGACCCTCTGTGACCCCTCCCTCTCTCTCTCTCCTCCTCCTCCGTGACCCCCCGTGACTCCTCCTTCTGTCCCTCTCGCAGGCTCGGAGGTCGAGGCCCAGCAGCAGTGCTTGCTGGCCGCGAACCTCTCCACGGAGGTTTGCCTCACCGTGCTCGACACGATGGAGCTCTACACGCACAACTACAAGGTACGGCGCGTCGCCAACGCGGGGACAAAGATGGCCGCCCCGCATAGCCTCAATCAGATTCTTGGGGCAAGTGCCGTTAGCGAACAGCCACCTATGAAGGCCGGCACGGCTCACGGATGGGTGGGTGGCAAGCAACACTCCCCCGACCGCCTTTGTCTCCCCGGTGGTGATGTTTACACACTGTACCACGTACTCGTTTAAGGCTGAGTCGACCTAGCGAAGGGCCCGGGACCGTTGCAGATAATTGTCACTGGTGTTGGTGGCCGTGAGCGGGAATCGAACTCAGTTTGCTGGGTTTGCAGTGCAGCGCGCTAACCAGAACAAGCACGCTCCCCTACGAGACATTGCCACACACACAGATCCACGGTTGTAGCCTACACACACTGTTGAGGCACGTGCTGTTAGCGAACACCTGTGCGTGTCTGTGTGTGTCTGTGCGTGTCTGTGTGTGTTTGTGTGCGGCTGTGTGTCTGTGCGCGTCTGCACGTGTCTGTGTGCTTCTGTGCGCTTCTGTGCGCATCTGTTTGTGTGTCTGCGTGCGTTCCTGCGTGTCTGTGCGTGTCTGTGCGTGTCTGTGCGTGTCTATGTGTATATGCTTGTCTGTGCGATTCTGTGTGTGTCTATGCGTGTGTGTGTTCGCGTCTGTGCGCATCTGTGTGTGTGTGTGTGCCTGTGCGTGTGTGTGCGTGTGTGTGCGTGCCTGTGCGTGTGTGTGCGCGTCTGTGTGTGTGTGCCTGTGCGTGTGTGTGCGTGCCTGTGTGCGTGTGTGTGTGCCTGTGCGTGTGTGTGCGTGCCTGTGCGTGTGTGTGCGCGTCTGTGCGTGCGTCTGCAGGAGCGGCTGCTGGCGGGTGGTGGGGACGGCGTGCTGATGCAGCGCGCGTTCGGGGTCTACGTGACGGCGCTGCGCACTGGGCAGTCGGCCGTCGCTCTCGGACACGTCTTCGCTTCCCTGCACACTTTCCTCAACAAGGTACGTGGCTGTTTGCTGTGTGTGCTATGTGCTGTGTGTGCTGTGTGTGTGCGCTATGTGTGTGTGTGCTACGTGTATGCTATCTGCTGTGTATGCTATGTTTGTTTGCTATCTTTTGTGTGTGCTGTGTGTGTGCTGTGTGTGCTGTGTCTGTGTGTGCTGTGTGTACTGTGTGTGTGCTGTGTGTGTGCTGTGTGTGCTGTGTGTGTGCTGTGTGTGCTGTGCGTGCACTATGTTCTGTGTGTGCTGTGTGCTGTGTGTGTGCTGTGTGTACTGTGTGTTCTGTGTGTGGTGTGTGTGTGTGCTGTGTGTGTGCTGTGTGTGCTGTGCGTGCACTATGTTCTGTGTGTGCTGTGTGCTGTGTGTGTGCTGTGTGTACTGTGTGTTCTGTGTGTGTGGTGTGTGTGTGTGCTGTGTGTGTGCTGTGTGTGTGTGCTGTGTGTGCTGTGTGTGTGCTGTGTGCTATGTGCTGTGTGATATGTGCTGTGTGCTATGTGCTGTGTGCTATGTGCTGTGTGTGTGCTGTGTGTGTGCTGTGTGTGTGCTGTGTGTGTGCTGTGTGTGTGCTGTGTGTGTGCTGTGTGTGCTGTGTGCTGTGTGTGTACTGTGTGTGTGTTGTGTGTGCTGTGTGTGCTGTGTGTGTGCTGTGTGGTGTAGTGCTGCGTGCTGTGTGTGTGCTGTGTGTGTGCTGTGTGTGTGCTGTGTGTGTGCTGTGTGTGCTGTGTGTGTGCTGTGTGTGCTGTGTGTGTGCTGTGTGTGCTGTGTGCTGTGTGTGTGATGTGTGTGTGCTGTGTGTGCTGTGTGTGTGCTGTGTGTGTGCTGTGTGTGTGCTGTGTGTGCTGTGTGTGTGCTGTGTGCTGTGTGCTGTGTGTGCTGTGTGTGCTGTGTGTGTGTTGTGTGTGTGCTGTGTGTGCTGTGTGTGTGCTGTGTGCTGTGTGTGTGCTGTGTGTGTGCTGTGTGTGCTGTGTGTGTGCTGTGTGTGCTATGTGCTGTGTGTGCTGTGTGCTGTGTGTGTGCTGTGTGTGTGCTGTGTGTGCTGTGTGTGTGCTGTGTGTGCTATGTGCTGTGTGGGCTATGTGCTGTGTGTGTGCTATGTGTGCACTGTGTTCTGTGCGTGCTGTGTGCTGTGCGAAGTTCAAGGTGGCATTCCTGCGAGGACGCAGCGAGCTGTGCGGCACGCTGTGCCTGGAGGCGCTGCGCTGCTGCGGGTCGCGCCTGGGCTGGGCGCAGGCGTGCCTGCTGCTGCACCTGCTCATGCGCCTCAACTTCGAGATGTCGGGGCGCGTCGCGTTCTCACGCACACACACGCAGGTGCTCACCCCGCACACCACGCACACACACCACCCACACACATCACGCACACCACACACACACACCACACACACACACCACGCACACACACCACTCACACACACGCAGGTGCTCACCCCGCACACCACGCACACACACCACGCACACACACCACGCACACACACCACGCACACACACCACTCACACACACGCAGGTGCTCACCCCGCACACACACACACCACGCACACACACCACGCACACACACCACACACACACACCACACACACACACCACGCACACACACCACGCACACACACCACTCACACACACGCAGGTGCTCACCCCGCACACCACGCACACACACCACGCACACACACACCACACACACCACCCACACACACCACGCACCACGCACACACACCACGCACACACACCACGCACGCACACGCAGGTGCTCACCCCGCACACCACGCACACACACCACGCACACACACACCACACACACCACGCACACACACCACGCACACCACGCACACACACCACGCACACACAACACGCACACACAACACGCACACACGCACACCACGCACACACTCCACGCACACACAACACGCACACACACCACGCACACACAACACGCACACACACGCACACACACCACGCACACACACCACGCACACACACGCAGGTACTCACCCCGCACACCACGCACACCACACACACCACGCACATCACGCACACCACGCACACACACACACACACGCCACACACACCCACCACGCACACACACACCACGCGCACACATATAGCAACAGAGCGACACGTAAACTGGCGAGGAGATGCGCGCGAGATGCCATTGCAAGCGAGTCTCCGGTGCGAGAGCCGACACGCGACGATGTTGCCGGCGCGGTGCGTGCAGGTGATCGTGGCCGTGAGCCGCCTCATGAGCGAGGCCGGGGATCTGGGCGGCCCCCGCTTCCGGCGCGCGCTCTCCACACTCAACGCCTACGCGGCGAGCGACACCACCGTGAGGGTACGCGCCACCGCCGTAGCCACCGTCGCCTCCATTGCCACCGTCATCACCACCGCCACCACCGTCATCACCACCGCCACCACCGTCATTGCCACCGTCATCACCACCGCCACCACCGTCATCACCACCGCCACCACCATCATCACCACCGCCACCACCATCATCACCACCGCCACCACCACCGCCACCATCGTCATTACCACCGCCACCACCGTCATTGTCACCGTCATCACCACGGCAACCACCGTCATCACCACGGCCACCACCGTCATCACCACGGCAACCACCGTCATCACCACGGCAACCACCGTCATCACCACCGCCACCACCGTCATCACCACCCTCACCACCGCCACCACCGTCATCACCACCGCCACCACCGTCATCGTCACCGCCACCACCATCATCGTCACCGTCATCACCACCACCACCACCGTCATCACCACCGCCACCACCGTCATCACAACCGCCACCACCATCATCGTCACCGTCATCACCACCGCCACCACCGTCATCACAACTGCCACCACCATCATCGTCACCGTCATCACCACCACCACCACCGTCATCACCACCGCCACCACCGTCATCACAACCGCCACCACCATCATCGTCACCGTCATCACCACCGCCACCACCGTCATCACAACTGCCACCACCATCATCGTCACCATCATCACCACCGCCACCACCATCATTGCCACCGTCATCACCACCGCCACCACCATTATCGTCACTGTCATCACCATCATCGCCACCGCCACCACCGTCATCCCACCATCATCGCCACCATCTCAAAGGTGGCCGGCCGTGGTGCCGGCCACCCGCCTGCCTGCGTGCCATGTCGACATTCACAGGTGCTGCTCGCTAACAGCACTTGCCCCAACAGCCCGTTAAAGGCTAAACGGGGTGGTGGGGGATGCGGGATGCGGGGTGGGGGGTGGGATCTCTGTGCGCACGTGTATGTACGCCCGTGTGCGTGTGTGTGCGTGTGCGTGTGCGTGCGCAGGGCAGCGCGTTTGCGGGGCAGGTGAAGGAGCTGACGAAGCGCGTGCGCGCCGTCCTCACGGCCACGCTGCAGATGAAGGAGCACGAGCGCGACCCCGAGATGATGGTCGACCTGCAGCACAGTCTCGCCACCTCCTACGCGGGCATGGCCGAGCTGCGCAAGGCCTGGCTCGAGAGCATGGCGCGCATGCACGAGCGCAACGGGGACCTCTCAGAGGTGCCGCCGACGACGGCGCCGCCGCTCGCTGCGTGCAGCGCCGGCAGCGCCAGCCGCGCTCGCACACACAACAGCAGCACTCACACATACAGCAGCAGCACTCACACATACAGCAGCACCAGCAGCACACACACATACACCAGCAGCACTAACACACAAAGGTGGTCCGGCGTGGGTGTTCCGTGTGTCGGACTTAATGGGGTCTCGGTATCATCACTCGGGGGGGTGGGTGGGCTTTGTGCGTTGATTGTGCTGTGACGTGGCGATGACGGTGGCGCCGCGTGTGTCCTGCAGGCTGCCATGTGTCACATCCACATCGCGGCACTCATGGCGAAATATCTGAAGAGGAGAGGTGAGCGGTCACACGGATATAGACGCACAGATATGCACAGACACACAGACACACACACAGATGCAGATACAAAGACAAAGAGGCAAAGATCCCCTGTATAGCCTTAACAGACTGTAGGGGCAAGTGCTGTTAGCGAGCACCTATGAAGGCCGGAATGGTACACGAGGGGGTGGGTGGCCAGCACCACGCCCGACCGCCTTTGTCTCCCTAGTGGCAATGTTTACACACCGCACCAGGTACTCATTTTGAGGCTGAGTCGACCTAGGGGAGGCCCGGGACCGGTTCAGATAATTGTCACTGATGTTGGCAGTGAGCGGGAATCGAACCCGTGTCGCCGGGTTCATAGCGCAGCGTGCTAACCGCTATACTATCGCTCCCCACCACAGATGCAGATACACACACAGATACACACACACACAGGTACACACACACAGATATACACAACAACAACAACCGCCATTCGCCACTAAGTGGTGGTGACGTCACCACGGCGCTTGTGCCAGGCTATGTGCACCTTGAGGCCACGTGAATTGTCGAACGCCCGCTGGCAGGAGGTCACGGGGCAGACCCAGCAGGTGCCACGGGTCGACTGACTGAGATGACATATACACACACACAGAGACACACAAAGACAAAAGACAAAGATCCCCCGTGTAGCCTTAACAGACTGTTGGGACAAGTGCTGTCAGTGAGTAGCACCTATGAAGCTTGGCACGGAGGCGAGATGTTAACTTCCTCGCCTGGTATACAGGAGGTTGTGGGTTCAATCCCGACCCTGACGCCTGCTGTATATTTGGAGTTTGCGTGTTCTCCCCGTTGTCGCGTGGATTTTCTCCGGGTCGTCCGGTTTTTCACCTCCACGTTCAGAAACAACGTGCGTTTAAGAGTAAGCCACTTCGTAGGTCTATCATCTTGTGACGGCCAGGGTCGCTTCTGAAAAAAAACCCCTCTGCAGCTCAGTGGGGCCTTACTTGTGTAGTAAAAATAAAACGTTTTTACAGTTTAATTTAATTTCACCGCAGGCGTGTGCGACGCCGAGGGGCGAGTGGAGAGACCGCCGGAGCCCGACGCAAACCCCGACGTCAACGCGGACGACCCCGACGAGAGCAGCAGCAGCAACAACACGCTGCACGACACCCAGAGTGAGTGGGGGGGGGGGGTCAAGTGCCGACAGCGATCGCCCGTTTATTATCAGCGCGGCGCGCAAGTTGATGGCGTGGCACGGCCCCCCGTATCAAGCGAGTGCCTCCGGCAGGCGAGGCTGCGTGCACGGTCCAAGCAGCACAGCGCGGGCGAGCAGAGAGGCGGACTGATGTGTGAGCCAGGGGGTGAGTGAGTTTGCGAGTCTATGGGGCGAGCGAGTGGCACTGGCTACGGAAGAGATGGGCTGCTGCGGTACTGGAGGATGTCGAGTTGAGTGGACTTGCCGATGGCTGGTGCCAGCGGTGTCAAGATCGGCCACCTGCAGAGGGAGGCTCTTGAAGGATATTTCTGCACGGTTTGAGGCAGCCGCCCTCCAGCAAACAACGGAGGGGCGGAGGAGCGACGCTCACAACAATGAGCGGAGTGCCGGGCATATAAAACAAAATAATTACACTTAAGCTATTATTTTTATTTTACCAGGTCAGGCCCACTGAGCTACGTAGCTCCTTTTCAGAAGCGACCTGGCCACAAATGATAGCTCAACGAAGTGGCTTATCAAGTGGAAATTATAGCAGCCAAATGTTGATTCTAAATGTGGGGAGAGAGATATACAGCAGGCGTCAGGGTCGGAATCGAACCCACGACCTCCTGCATACCAGGCGCGGGAGTTAACATCTTGCCACCGTGGCGCCTGGAAGCCAGGTGGCACAGGCGGTGCATCTGCTAGTTAAACCCCCACAACGCACGGATTTCTTCTGTAACTTGCCAGTGGGTATAATGCCACTCCGTGTAGCTCCAAAGATCAGCCATCGCGGTGATATCCCCGGCACTCGGTGGTGATTGGCCGGCGGGCGGTCATTGTTGGTGTGCGTGTGGCGAGCGCGTGTGGTGCGTGCGTGTGGTGCCTGTGTGCGCTGATGCAGGGCGCCTGCCACTCTGCGTAGGCCCCAAAGTGCAGCAATCGCGGTTACGTTCCCCCCGGCACTCGGTGGTGAATGGCGGTCGTCGTTGTTGTCGGCGTGCGTGTGTCCAGGCGTGCTGATGCAGGGCATCGCGGCGTTCGAGAGCATCACGCCCAACGTGACGGACGAGGAGACCGCCGAGGACGATGAGTGCGGCACCCAGGACGTGCACTTCAGCGAGGTGCGCCGTGACGGGGACGGCTACGCACAACGTGCCGTGTCGCGGATCCCCCCCCACCCCCCCCTTTCATTACGCGCAGCGTTGTAGAAGTTCTTTCGGTAAAGTCACGTAGAAGGGAAATAATAAAATAATAAAAATAAAACATTAAATCATTCTCACGACGTTTCGGCCACAACGCAAGCAGCCATCCTCACCTGAGGCCACAACGCAAGCAGCCGTCCTCACCTGAGGACGGCTGCTTGCGTTGTGGCCGAAACGTCGTGATAATTATTTTATTATGTTTTATTTTTATTATTTTATTAATTCCCTTCTACGTGACTTTACCGAAAGAACCAAGAAGATGAATCCCTGCAGTCACGAAAGCTTTAAATCGAAAGTTGTAGAAGTTGTAGCAAGAATAGTTGTGAACGTTATTATTTTAATTTGGCAACGGCTGAGATCTACCGCTTCAAACGCAGGTAGTTGCGGGGTTTGGTGGTGAGGTCATCGTGGTTGGTGGTGAGGTCATCGTGGTTGGTGATGAGGACTTCCCGCTGTGCCCGCAGGACATGCTGGTGGAGCAGCTGGAGACGTGCGCCCACATGCTGGAGCGCGCCGAGCGCTTCGAGCTCATGGCCGACATCTACAAGATGATCATCCCCATCTACGAGCACCGCCGCGACTTCCAGGTGCCCGGCGGTGCTCCGCGTCGCGCAAGAGGATACAGACACGGCCGCCACCGAGACAAAGCTTTTAGAATGGGGGGGGGGGCACCCCACCACGCTCACCCCCACCACGCTCACCCCCAGCACTCCCCGCGCAACGTACGCCTGTGGCTGTGCGTGCGTCTGAACAGGGTGGGGAGCGGCGGCGCAGAGGGTTAGCCTGCCGCGCTACGAACCGTGGCGAGCCGCGTTCGATTCACCCCTCGCGGCCAATGCCGGTGACGATTATCTGAACCGGTCCTGGGCCTCCGCCTTGAGTACCTGGGCGCGGCGCGTAGTAAACGTTCGCCACTGGGGAGACGGTGGCGGCCAGGCGTGGTGCTGTCCGCCACCCAGCCCCTCGCGTGCCACAGCGCTGGCCTTCGTAGGTGCCGCTACTCGCTACGAACGGCGCTTGCCCCGACAGTCCGTTAAAGGCTACACGGCGGCCCGGGGCGGGATCTTTGTCTTGGTGTGCACAGAAACTGAGCGATCTCTACATGGCCCTGCACAAGGCCTACGACCAGATCCTGGACGCCACGCGGACGTGCCGACGATTGCTGGGCACCTATTTCCGCGTGGCCTTCTTCGGGCAGGTGAGAGGCAACATCCACAACCGGTCACTCGCTCTCGACGCACCGAGCAGTTGGCAGCCAGCGCCCTAACATAGGGGGCTGGAGGGGGCTGGAGGGGGCGGGAGGGGGCTGGCTTTTGGTGGTGCGGGTCTCCGTGGTTGTTGGTGAGCTCCTCGTTGGCGTTGGTGGGGCGGCCACCGTAGTAGCATTGGAGGGAGGGGTGCTGGAGCGGGCTAGCCCCCCCCCCCCGGTCACCCCCCCCCCTCCCCCACCTTCAGTCAAGTAATGCGATGAGTTTTGTTAAGCGATGGGCTTGCCCAGCTTTGGTTCAAGCGCACCGGGCGTGAGAGAGAGGTGAGAGAGAGCAGAGCGCACGGTCGGTCAAGGCAGGCTGTGGGCCTTACTCGCTCGACGTTCGTGTGACGTTTGTTGAATGTTGACCGTGTCGTGCCGTGGCCCCCCACCCATAACCCTCCTCCCCCGTTCCCCCCCCCCCCTCCCCCCCCCATTGACACACGGTCAAGCTACAGCACCAGGCTTGCTCATGAGCCCCTGCTACCCAACTGCATTTATATATATATTTATATATATATCAAATTAGATATAGAATTCTACGTACTGTATACGTACGTACGTTTTCACACGTAGGCTTTCGCGACAAATATGATCCACCCGATTGGCTCACAAGTGACGGCGTCACATTTAGCGTCGTCTATTTAAGATCGCCTGGTGATGCTGGTTGTAATTACTGACGAGACGCCATGGTACTCGGATTGTAAATGTTGTGGGTTTACTCCCCAACTCACAACCGCTGTGGTGAGCTAGTAACGAACGGGCACCTTCTGTTTACGTGACAAACCTTACTAATTGGCTGTCGCGAGTGGTGGCGTGTTTAACGACACATTTATATTGACGCGATCTAACCCCAAAAACAATCTCCATTATGGATGTATGTACATGGATGTGTCGCACAGCAGCAGAGGGTACCGTAACAAAATCCATTGTTGTACTGTACTCGTATGTTCCCACGTCGATTTACACAACTGTCGCTGACCAGCGTGTTGAGGTATAGTCAAATACCGCCCTCCCCACGTCTCAGACGGTGTGGGAGAAGGCCTTCATCCAGCAGTGGATCGATAAAGGAATGTCAATAAATATTGTTTAGTATGATGTACAGTAAAACCTTGGATTGCGAGCATAATTCGTTCCGGAAATGTCATCCAAAGCACTCGTCGTATATCAGTTGTGATCACGTGACGCTCGGCAGACGAAGCGCACACACGTACTACTCGTATTGCAAGACCTCGCTCGTTTATCAAATTAATATTTATTTTAAAAATGTGCTCGTCTTGCAAAACACTCGCAGACCAAGTTACTCGCAATCCAAGGTTTTACTGTACTACTGTGATCCCAATACTGTGATGGCAGTCTCCCCACCGGCCATCTGTTTCTATAAACTCTATTCCCATTTCACAATGAGCACGATCGATGTAAGTTGTGTGCGTATTTTCACGTTTCATTTTCTCTCCTCCTCTGTGATCGTTCGTGTGTGTAGGCCGTGGTACGTAAGTCTCACCGAGGAGTGAGGTCAATGTTTTACAAATCTGGCGACAAAACACACTAAAGCTTTTTTTTTTCTCACGGGCTTCATAGAACTACCGCCGAGTGCTTGTATCGCTAACAGCTTCCCGCTTCTTGTGTGCAGCAGTGCGGGGCGTGGGGAGGGAATGTACGTTGAACTTAAATCTTGACTTAAAGCTTTCGTGACTGCAGAAATTCATATTCTTTGGGTCTTTCGGTAAAGTCACGTGGAACATTTTTTTTTACAAATGGTGACGATTGCTTGTGTTGCATTCGAAACGTCGTAGTTTTTTGTAAATGTTTTTGTTCTACGTGACTTTACCGAAAGACCCAAAGAGTACGTTGAACTTCTTTCGCGCCGCACCTAACCAACCGTGCTAATCGTAGGTGCGGGGGAAAGACAACAAACTAAACGCAAAAAGGCAGTTCTAAAGAAATTCGTTTTCAATCTCGATTATTTAAAAGTGCATAGAAGGAAGAGCATTCCAGACACCCTCAGAAGCGCATCTGAAAGTGTGCGATGTGGTGACTTTGTTCGAAGGCTAGCCAAAAGCCGCCGCTGCTGCTGCTGCGATGATGACCGGAGTTCGCGTGGTGATAGTTTATACTCCTTAACGCGATCAGCAAGGCATTGTAGTTCATTTCTTCTAACCAACCACTCAGGATGAAGAATGGCGGTAATTAGACCTTGAGAGAGTCCTAGGTACCACATCGGGGCACCGGGCCAGCAACCGCTGATCCAGATCCCGGGTTCGAATCCGGGTTTTACCCTGGCCACCAGCGTAGGCAGTCGGTGGTCTCAGCTGTGTCGCTGACAACTGCACGAGACCCAGAATAACCCATCGTACCGCTTTGCCACTTATCTTCCAGCCCTAGCGACGATGTGCTCCGGGTGGGTCTGTCCAGGTGACGTCACCTTCCCGGCCGCTGTTCTCTGCCGCAAAGTGGCGCGCCGCTCGCTGCGAGAGACGTTTTCGACGGGAATGTGTGAACGATCTCTCCAGTGTCGCGACCCAGATGCGATTGAGCAAAGCAATCATCTGAATGAAACTCGATCCCAGCGTCTACATTTGCAGCCCCGGTTACAGCCAGGGCAACAAAGCTGCATAGCCGTACCGCATCGATGATCCCGGACAATGCTACCGTCGCCGCGCTTGCTTGTGTCAGCTGACGTGTCAGCTTGTGTCGCCAGTCCAGTCGCCGTGTCAGCTTGTGTCGCCAGTCCAGTCGCCGTGTCAGCTTGTGTCGCCAGTTCAGTCGCTGTGTCAGCTTGTTTCGCCAGTTCAGTCGCCGTGTCAGCTTGTGTCACCAATCCAGTCGCCGTGTCAGCTTGTGTCGCCAGTCCAGTTGCTGTGTCAGCTTGTGTCACCAGTTCAGTTGCTGTGTCAGCTTGTGTCACCAGTTCAGTTGCTGTGTCAGCTTATGTCACCAGTTCAGTTGCTGTGTCAGCTTGTGTCACCAGTCCAGTCGCCGTGTCAGCTTGTGTCACCAGTCCAGTCGCCGTGTCAGCTTGTGTCACCAGTCCAGTCGCCGTGTCAGCTTGTGTCACCAGTCCAGTTGCTGTGTCAGCTTGTGTCACCAGTTCAGTTGCTGTGTCAGCTTGTGTCACCAGTTCAGTTGCTGTGTCAGCTTGTGTCGCCAGTCCAGTTGCTGTGTCAGCTTGTGTCACCAGTTCAGTCGCTGTGTCAGCTTGTGTCGCCAGTCCAGTCGCTGTGTCAGCTTGTGTCGCCAGTCCAGTCGCTGTGTCAGCTTGTGTCACCAGTCCAATTGCTGTGTCAGCTTGCGTCACCAGTCCAGTTGCTGTGTCAGCTTGTGTCACCAGTCCAGTCGCCGTGTCAGCTTGTGTCGCCAGTCCAGTCGCTGTGTCAACTTGCGTCACCAGTCCAGTTGCTGTGTCAGCTTGTGTCACCAGTCCCAGTCGCTGTGTCAGCTTGTGTCGCCAGTTCAGTCGCTGTGTCAACTTGCGTCACCAGTCCAGTCGCTGTGTCAGCTTGTGTCACCAGTCCAGTTGCTGTGTCAGCTTGTGTCGCCAGTCCAGTCGCCGTGTCAGCTTGTGTCACCAGTCCAGTCGCTGTGTCAGCTTGTGCCACCAGTCCAGTCGCTGTGTCAGCTTGTGTCGCCAGTCCAGTCGCCGTGTCAGCTTGTGTCACCAGTCCAGTCGCTGTGTCAGCTTGTGTCGCCAGTCCAGTCGCTGTGTCAACTTGTGTCGCCAGTTCAGTCGCCGTGTCAGCTTGTGTCACCAGTCCAGTTGCTGTGTCAGCTTGTGTCGCCAGTCCAGTCGCTGTGTCAGCTTGTGTCACCAGTCCAGTTGCCGTGTCAGCTTGTGTCACCAGTCCAGTCGCCATGTCAGCTTGTGTCACCAGTCCAGTTGCCGTGTCAGCTTGTGTCACCAGTCCAGTTGCCGTGTCAGCTTGTGTCACCAGTGCAGTCGCTGTGTCAGCTTGTGTCGCCAGTCCAGTCGCTGTGTCAACTTGTGTCACCAGTTCAGTCGCTGTGTCAGCTTGTGTCGCCAGTCCAGTCGCTGTGTCAGCTTGTGTCGCCAGTCCAGTCGCTGTGTCAGCTTGTGTCACCAGTCCAATTGCTGTGTCAGCTTGCGTCACCAGTCCAGTTGCTGTGTCAGCTTGTGTCACCAGTCCAGTTGCTGTGTCAGCTTGTGTCGCCAGTCCAGTCGCCGTGTCAGCTTGTGTCACCAGTCCAGTCGCTGTGTCAGCTTGTGTCACCAGTCCAGTCGCTGTGTCAGCTTGTGTCGCCAGTCCAGTCGCCGTGTCAGCTTGTGTCCCCAGTCCAGTCGCCGTGTCAGCTTGTGTCACCAGTCCAGTCGCTGTGTCAGCTTGTGTCGCCAGTCCAGTCGCCGTGTCAGCTTGTGTCACCAGTCCAGTCGCTGTGTCAGCTTGTGTCACCAGTCCAGTCGCCGTGTCAGCTTGTGTCGCCAGTCCAGTCGCCGTGTCGGCTTGTGTCACCAGTCCAGTCGCTGTGTCAGCTTGTGTCGCCAGTCCAGTCGCTGTGTCAACTTGTGTCGCCAGTTCAGTCGCCGTGTCAGCTTGTGTCACCAGTCCAGTTGCTGTGTCAGCTTGTGTCGCCAGTCCAGTCGCTGTGTCAGCTTGTGTCACCAGTCCAGTTGCTGTGTCAGCTTGTGTCGCCAGTCCAGTCGCTGTGTCAGCTTGTGTCACCAGTCCAGTTGCCGTGTCAGCTTGTGTCACCAGTCCAGTCGCCATGTCAGCTTGTGTCACCAGTCCAGTCGCAGTGTCAGCTTGCATCGATTATCCGGGGGATGGGGGTGGGCGAAATGTTACACCGCTATTGCAGTGAAAGAGTAAAACGGCAACTTTAGTGCTGGCAGATGCACGCGTGTGGCCGGAGTAACGCCAGCGCTACTCGGCAGGTCAGAGAGCTGGACATTAGAAATGGAAACTGGGGAAGAAGCCCTTCAGGGGAGGTGATGGCGCAGATGGCGTGGAGTAGTAGTAGTTGTAGCATTCATTTTTATGGTCGGGAGACGTTGATCTTAGGTGGCGAGCGGCCGCTGTTGCTGTTTGCTCCGTGGTCTATTGCCGTGTCCACCCCCTCTGGCCACCTTCCCCCCACCCAGGGCTACTTCGAGGAGGACGAGTGGAAGGAGTACATCTACAAGGAGCCCAAGCTCACGGGCCTCTCCGAGATCTCCCAGCGTCTGCAGCTGCTCTACGCCGACAAGTTCGGCTCGCAGAACGTGCGCATCATCCAGGACTCGAACCCGGTGAGAGGTCGTCGTCGTCGTCGTCGTCATCATCTTCATCGTCGTCGTCATCTTCATCGTCGTAATCGTCATCATCATCGTCGTCGTCATGATGATCGCCATCATTGTCACCGTCGTTATTTTCGTTGTCGTCATCATTGTTGTCGTCATCATCGTTGTCGTCATGATCATAGCCATAAATGTCATCATCATCGTGATTATCATCATCATCATCATTGTCGTCGTCGTCGTCATCATCATCTTCAACATCATCGACACCATAATCATTGTCATCATCATGATCATCGTTATTAACATGATCATTATCATAATTGTCTTCATCATTATCATCATAATTGTCATCATCGCCATCATCGTCGTCGTCATCATCGTTATTCTCATAATCGTCATCGCGGCATGTCCACCGCTCCCACTGTGTGGGCCAGGGCACCCCGAGTTTTCTCGTCAGGATACGTCACTATAATATTGACAATAATGATGATGGTGGCGACGGTGACGATGGTGACGACGGTGACGACGGTGACGATGATGACATTGGTGACGATGGTGACGATGGTGACGATGGTGACATTGGTGACGATGGTGACGATGGTGACATTTGTGACGATGGTGACGATGGTGACGATGGTGATGATGATGACGATGGTGATGATGATGACATTGGTGACGATGATGACGATGGTGACGATGACGACGATGACGACAATGGTGACGATGGTGACATTTGTGACGATGGTGACGATGGTGACGATGGTGACGATGGTGATGATGATGACGATGGTGATGATGATGACATTGGTGACGATGATGACGATGATGACATTTGTGACGATGATGACGATGGTGACGATGACGACGATGACGACAATGGTGACGATGATGAAAATGGTGACGATGATAACGACGATGCACCGCTCAAGACAATCGCATCAAGTTCTCGCTCACCATCTGGGGAATGGTAAAAGTGCCGGATAACTCTGACTCCGTCACGCCAATGCCGGGCAGAGGTCCCCTCTGGAGGAGGGCATTTGGGTCCCACTTTCCAATGCCGGCCAAGAGGGTCTCCATAGAGGTGGGAGTAGCTCCACTTTACCCCAACACACGCGCAACTCGCCGATGGGACTCGCCGTGGCGTTAACCCACTTGAATTGGAATGTCCTGCTTGGGTAGACAGGGGTGGGGACAAAGGGGCTGAAGAAACTCGCTCCCCCCTTGTTTAAATCGATCTAAGACATCGTCGTCCAGGGACAGGGGCTCTCTGGAGGTAGAGTAAAAGATTGGCTTGCGAGTAACTTGGTCTGCGAGTGTTTTGCAAGACGAGCAAAATTTTTAAATAAACATTAATTTGATAAACGAGCGAGGTCTTGCAATACGAGTAGTACGTGTGTACGCTTTGTCTGCCTAGCGTCACGTGATCACAACTGATATACGAGTGCTTTGGATTACAAACATGTCGCTGGAACAAATTATGCTCACAATCCAAGGTTTTACTGTATACTATATTACGAAAAAAAATTCCTAAAAAAAAGTTTTACCAGGTAAGGCCCACTGAGTTGTATAGCTCTTTTTCAGAAGCGACCTGGCCACAAATGATAGCTCAATGAAGGGGCTTTTCAGGTGGAAATTTATAGCAGCCAAATACTCTGAAACGCGTGACATTGGTTGTAAATGTTGGAGGGAAAGAACTGGAGGGTCCGGAGAAAAATCCATGCGACCACAATAAGAGAGAAAAATAACACGGACACTCCATATATACAACAGGCGTCAGAGTCGGGATCGAACCCACAAATTCTTCGTACCAGGCGAGGCAGTTAACATCTCCTCGTCACTGTGATGATGAGAGAGAACACACAAACTCTACATATACAACAGGCATCAGGGTCGGGGATCTAACCCACGACCTCCTGCATACCAGGCGAGGCAGTTAACATTTCCTGGCCACCGTGATGATGATGAGCGAGAGAGACACGCAACCTCCAAATACACAGCAGGCGTCGGGGTCGGGGATCGAACCCACGACCTCCTGCATACCAGGCGAGGCAGTTAACATCTCCTGGCAACCGTGATGATGATGAGAGAGAGAGAGAGACACGCAAACTCCAAATACACAGCAGGCGTCAGGGTCGGGGATCGAACCCACGACCTCCTGCGTACCAGGCGAGGCAGTTAACATCTCCTAGCCACCCTAATGATAATGAGCGAGAGACACACAAACTCCACATACAACAGGCGTCAGGATCGGGGATTGAACCCACGACCTACTGCATACCAGGCGAGGCAGTTAACATTTCCTGGCCACCGTGATGATGATGAGCGAGAGAGACACGCAAACTCCACATATACAGCAGGCGTCGGGGTCGGGGATCGAACCCACGACCTCCTGCGTACCAGGCGAGGCAGTTAACATCTCCTGGCAACCCTGATGATGATGATGAGCGAGAGAGAACACACAAACTCCGCATACAACAGGCGTCAGGGTCAGGGATCGAACCCACGACCTCCTGCGTACCAGGCGAGGTAATCAACATCTCGCCGCCACAGGTGGACGCGTCGGAGCTGGACCCGCGCCTCGCCTACATCCAGATCACGTTCGTGCAGCCCTTCTTCAGCGGCGCCGAGCAGGCCGCGCGGCGCACCGACTTCGAGCGCGGCCACAACGTGCGGCGCTTCGTGTTCGAGACGCCCTACACCGCCTCGGGGCGGAAGCACGGGGACGTCACGGAGCAGTGCAAGCGCCGCACCGTGCTCACCAGTGAGCGCCACCCACCATCCCACCAACCCACCAACCCACCACCCCACCACCCTACCACCCACCACCCACCATCCACCCACCCACCCACCCCACCAACCCACCAACCCACCACCCACCACCCACCACCCACCAACCCACCACCCCCCCACCACCCACCCACCAACCCACCACCCCACCACCCTACCACCCACCACCCCCCCACCACCCCACCACCCACCCACCACCTACCACCCACCCACCACCCACCCACCACCCACCCACCACCCACCCACCACCCCACCACCCACCCACCACCCCCCCACCACCCCACCACCCACCCACCACCTACCACCCACCCACCACCCACCCACCACCCACCCACCACCCACCCACCACCCCACCACCGGCACCACGTCCGGCCACCTTTGTCTCCCCACTGGCGATGTTTGCACATTGCATCAGGTATTAATTTCAGGCTGAGTCGCCCTAAGGGATGCTCAGGAACGGTTCAGATAATCGCCACTGGTGTTTGTTGCCGCGAACGGGAATGGAACTCGCGTCGCTGGATTCGAAGCTCGGCGTGCTAACCGCTGCACCACCGCTCCCCACAGGACACACGCACACACGCAAGAACAACATCGGCCAACTTCGTAGCGGTGAAATTTTATTTTTTTTGCCAGCGGTCGGCAAAATTGCCGTGATGCCAACACGCGGACACTGGGCTGTGTGCGCGACGTGGTGCCGTGGAAGGGCATTGTCACAACAGCATCGCGCAGATCTATTCCTCAGTTATGCAAGTGGATGATGGCCTTGATACTTCTGTAGTCAAGAGTACTCGCATGGTATCGGCGGCATGCAGTTTGAAGGATATCAATCTTATTTCCCTTCTTTGTCTCTTCCCGTGCACCATCAACACCATGCCCACTAACACCACCACCACGTGTCCAATGTCACCACCACAATATCATCACCATCACCCACCCACACTATAACCTCCCACACTACCAACATCGTTATCATCATCCACCATCACCACCACCATGTCCACCACCACCATCATCACCACCACCATCATCATCACCACCATGTCCACCATCACCACCACCATGTCCACCACCACCATCACCACCACCATCATCATCACCACCATGTCCACCACCACCACCATCATATCCACCACCACCATCACCACCACAATCACCACCACCACCATGTCCACCAAAACCATGTCCACCAAAACCATGTCCCCCACCATCACCTCCACCATCATGTCCACCACCACACCATCATCATGTCCACCATCATATCCACCACCACCATCATCACCACCACCACCATGTCCACCATCATCATCACCACCATGTCCACCACCATCATCATCACCACCAAGACCATGTCCACCATCACCACGACCACCATGTCCACCAACATCATCATCATCACCACCACCACCATCACCACCACCACCATGTCCACCATCATCATCACCACCACCATCACCACCACCACCATCATCACCACCACCACCACCATCACCACCATCACCACCATCACCATCATCACCACCATCACCACCATCATCACCACCATCACCACCATCACCACCATCACCACCACCACCACCACCACCATCACCACCACCACCACCATCACCACCACCACCATCATTACCACCACCACCATCATCACCACCACCACCACCATCATCACCACCATCACCACCACCACCATCATCACCACCACCACCACCATCACCACCATCACCACCACTATCACCATCATCACCACCACCACCACCATCACCACCACCACCATCATCACCACCACCACCATCATCACCACCACCACCACCATCATCACCACCATCACCACCACCACCATCATCACCACCACCACCACCATCATCACCACCATCACCACCATCACCACCATCACCATCATCACCACCACCACCACCATCACCACCACCACCATCATCACCACCACCACCACCATCATCACCACCACCACCACCATCATCACCACCATCACCACCACCACCACCATCATCACCACCACCACCACCATCATCACCACCATCACCACCATCACCACCATCACCACCACCACCACCATCACCACCACCACCATCATCACCACCACCACCACCATCATCACCACCATCACCACCATCACCACCATCACCATCAACACCACCATCACCACCACCACCACCACGTCCACCACCACCACCCTTCCCACTTCCACACCGCCCCGCCGCGCACTCTCCCCACCGCCTCTCCCCAGCGTCGCACACGTTCCCGCACGTGCGCAAGCGCGTGCCCGTGGTGGCGCGCCTGCACGAGGAGTTGGGGCCCGTGCAGGTGGCGGTGGACAGCATGCGCAGCAAGGTGGAGGAGCTGAGCACCCTCTGCTCCGAGTCGCCTGCCAACATGATCCAGCTGCAGCTCAAGCTGCAGGGCAGCGTCAGCACGCAGGTGAGACGCCAGGTGTTACGTGTGTATGACGCAGGTGAGACACCAGGTGCCAGGTGTGTATCACGCAGGTGAGACGTCAGGTGCCAGGTGTGTATGACGCAGGTGAGACGCTAGGTGTTACGTGTGTATGATGCAGGTGAGACACCAGGTGTTAGGTGTGTATGACGCAGGTGAGACGTCAGGTGCCAGGTGTGTGTCATGCAGGTGAGATGCCAGGTGCCAGGTGTGTATGACGCAGGTGAGACGTCAGGTGTTAGGTGTGTGTCATGCAGGTGAGATGCCAGGTGTTAGGTGTGTATGACGCAGGTGAGACACCAGGTGCCAGGTGTGTGTCATGCAGGTGAGACGTCAGGTGTTAGGTGTGTATGATGCAGGTGAGACGTCAGGTGCCAGGTGTGTATGACGCAGGTGAGACACCAGGTGCCAGGTGCGTGTCACACAGGTGAGACGTCAGGTGCCAGGTGTGTATGATGCAGGTGAGACGCCAGGTGCCAGGTGTGTGTCATGCAGGTGAGACGTCAGGTGCCAGGTGTGTGTGATGCAGGTGAGACGTCAGGTGCCAGGTGTGTGTGATGCAGGTGAGACGTCAGGTGCCAGGTGTGTGTGATGCAGGTGAGACACCAGGTGCCAGGTGTGTATAACGCAGGTGAAACGTCAGGTGCCAGGTGTGTGTCATGCAGGTGAGACGTCAGCTGCCAGGTGTGTATCGTGCAGGTGAGACGCCAGGTGTTACGTGTGTATGACGCAGGTGAGACGCCAGGTGCCAGGTGTGTATGACGCAGGTGCATGAGAGATGGCAACGGCTTGGGGGAGTCCTTATCCCAGCATCGTGTGTGACGACGACGAAGACGACGAAGATGACGAAGATGACGACGATCTGCTGACACGGCAATGTCTCGCCCAGGTGAACGCGGGACCCCTCGCGTACGCCAGAGCGTTCCTGGATGAGAGCAACTGCGCAAAGTACCCGGAGGAGAGCGTGGAGGAGCTCCGAGACCTCTTCAGGTGCGGCAGCAGCGGCAGCAGCAGCAGCGCGCACGCACGGACGCGTTAAGAGAGTCGCGTAGAGCGAACTGAGCTAGCGGCCGACGCTTAGCCTGGCCGTGCGTCCCACGCCGTCTAACTGCAGTTTGAAGCTTCGCGGGTGAGAAAGACTCTTAAAGGGGTGGTTATCAAGCGTTGTGCTGTCGTCATCGTCGTCCATCATCATCATCATCGTCGTCGTCGTCGGAAACACGGAGGAGGAGGCCTCCTGCACGGTTAAGTCGGCGTCACGACGGATCCAACGAACCCACGAGTTCCTCGGGATGCCCCCCCCCCCCCCTCCCTCGCCCCCTACCGCCAACAATGATGATACGGAGAGGTCACGGGTCGACGCTTCTGGTCAGCGCGGTGTTAGTTGGCGTGTTTGCGTGTGCTTGGATCGCCGCGGCGTGGCGCTGATGTTTGCCAAACATTGTTACGATGACGATTTTGACGGTGACGATGATGGCGATGACGATGGTGGTGATGATGACTTTGACGACAATGGTGACGACGACGATGGTGGTGGTGACGACGACGATGGTGGTGATGATGGCGACGATGATGACGGTGACGATGGTGATGATGTTGATGATGTTGATGACGATAATGATGACGACAGTGATGGTGACGACAATAATTATGATGATTCTGACGATGGCGATGATGGTGATGCCAATGGCGATGGCGACCACGGCAATGATTGTGACGACAGGGACGACGATGTTGACGAGGATAATTACAGTGATTGTGACGACGATGATGGTGGTGACAACAGCGACGGTGATCACAGTAACGACGACAACGACGACGACGACGACAATTACGACGACCGTGACGACGGTGATGATGATGGTGGTGGTGACAACGGCGATGGTGATCACGGTGATGACGACGACGATAATGACGACGATTGTGATGACCGTGACGACGCTGGTGCTAACCCCGGCGACGACGGTGATCATCGTGCGACCTGTAGGCAGTTCGTGGTGGTGTGCGGCTCCGCGCTGGAGCTCAACGAGACGCTCATCAAGGAGGACCAGCAGGAGTACCACGAGGAGCTGAAGCTCAAGTACGGCGAGATGGTGCAGGAGCTGTCCAGCATCCTGCGCGAGATGGTGAGACGTCGCGTGTGCGCGTGCGCATGTGCTCGTGCGTGTGTGTGTGCGTGCGCGTGTGCGTGTGCGCATGTGCTCGTGCGTGCATGTGCGTGTGTGTGCTCGCGCGTGCGCGTGCGTGTGTGTGCGTGTGTGTGCGTGTGTGTGCGTGTGTGCGAGTGTGCGTGTGTGCGTGTGCGTGCGTGTGCGCGTGTGCGTGTATGTGCGTGTGTGTGTGTGTGTGTGCGTGTGTGTGCGTGTGTGTGCGTGTGTGTGGGTGTGCATGTGTGTGCGTGTGTGTGTGTGTGCGTGTGTGTGCGTGTGTGTGTGTGTGTGCGCGTGTGTGTGCGTGTGCGTGTGTGTGTGTGTGTGCGTGTGTGTGTGTGTGCATGTGTGTGCGTGTGTGCTCGTGCGTGCATGTGCGTGTGTGCGCTCGTGCGTGTGCGTGCGCGCGCTCGTGCGTTGAACTCCTTTCGCACCGTGCGTGACCAACCGCGTCAAATCGGAGATGCGGTGTTGAAGGGCAACAACTTAACACGTAATAAACTCCTTAAAAAAGTAAATAAGTCGATTGGACAACGGGAAGTGGACGGCATCTTGATTACAATATTTGACCACGACATGCAGAGGAATGAAGTTTAATAACTTTTTTTCACAACTTCGTTTAACTCTCCGTCGAGAAGTACGTCAACGATGCGGCACCTGCTCCCACATCAACGCTTGCCGCCTGTTTCTAGGGCGAGGCGATTCCAGAGTTTAGGAACAGCGGCGTTTTTGACGTAGCCAAATAAATATTAAATTAATAAGCCGTCCATACAAAATGTTAATTGCTTGAAAAGAGCCGATTAATTGAGTAATGTATGCCGATTTTTGATACAGCCATGCATTGTCACCGGAATTGAGTACGTGTGCAAAATTTGGAATTCATTGGACAACAGGAAGTAGACGAACTTTTGATTTCAAGATTTGACCACGACAAACATAGGAGTCAAGTTAAGTAAAGCCGTTGAAAAAGCTGCTCTAAAGAAATTCGTTTTCATTCGAGAAACACATTGTCGGGGCAAGTGCTGTTAGTGTGTAGCAGCGGTGTAGCCTGACAGACCGTCGAGGCAAGAGCTGTTTGCGATCAGCACCTCTGCGTGTATGTATCTCGAACTTCTTTCACACCGTACGTTGCCAGCCGGGCTAATCGGAGGTGCGGGAATTACACTCGAGAATTTAGAGGAGCAGCCAAACGATCCAAAACAATCTACGGCCTCGGCGTTGCGACGTTTTTCGAAGCCGCGACGGTGGCTGCCTGCGCCCCTTGACCCTTACCCGCGCCCCGTGACCTTCACCCCTCCCCCCTTCATACCCCCCCCCGCGCCCTCGCTAGGTGATGCCGCAGTGGAAGGCCTTGCGTAACAGCGCCGTCAGGGGCTCCGTGCACATGTACTTCAACGCGGTGAGCCAGCCAGCCAGCCTGCGCGGGGTCACGGGGTCATCGTCCAGCGCGTGAGGCCGGGGGCACCGTCCCCGCCGGCTTGTCCTGCAGCGCCGGCGGCAGCAGCAGCAGCGGCAGCAGCAGCGGCAGCAGCAGCAGTGACACCAATACCACCACCGGGAGTGCCAGCACCGCGCCACCGCGACCGCGCCAGGAACACCTGCACCAATACCATCATCGCCATCACCAGCTGCTAATAGCATCAGCAACAGCGCTCGCAGCAATAGCACCAACACAAATGCTACGACCGCCACCACTGCCACCTCCCCTACAACTATGACCATCATCGCCACTGTCAACCGCGCTGCACGTGCCACTACCACGGTCGCTGCCGCCACTCACGACTAACCACAGCCATCACTACCGCTGTTAACACCGCCAACAACGACCGCCGCTACAACCACCAACTATCACGACTACCACCAACTACTACACTGTCACAATCACCACCACCAACCACAACACAACCAACAAGCTCATTGGCTCACAACCAGTGGCAATGAACCCCGGCGATGAATGAATGAAGATGCCTCCGAGCACATCTGCTGCATCCGAGGCCAGAGGCGGTGTTCGCCTGCTGCCTGTGCAGCGTGCTGCTGCATGTGCCACGTGCTGCTATGAGGAGAGCATTCCCCCGTGTCCCGATGGGTCGCCCGGCAACCTCCTGCCGCGTGTGTGAACCTGCAGCGCGGGTGAGGGTTAAGCAGAGAGTCTGTGGCACCGTTTACGGAGGAGGGAGCATGGCCGTCGACTGCCCCGGTGTCTTGGCTCCCATTGCGAAGCAGCAAAAATGGACGTCTGGAAATCGGCGAATGACGTAAATAAATGTGATTTTTAATGGTACGGTTGCATATCGGCTCCCCTGACAAAGAGGGAGGAGGGATGATTCCAGGTAATCTGCCCAAAGATAGTCGAGCGGCATCTGTGCCAATCACAGGCGCGATGTCATCGCAGAATCATAGGCGTGATGACATCACAGAATCACAGGCGTGATGTAATCAGGAGTCCGGATCGTGTGACGTAAGTGGCCGATGATGAGGATGCCACCCCTCGATGTACGATGTAAATAACGAAACGTGACCACTGCCAGCAAAGGAAATGGCGCTTCCAGCCACGCGTGCATACGCGTGTTGTATGTTGAACTTCTTTCGCACCGTACGTTGCCAACCGTGCTAATCGGAGGTGCTGGGGAAAGGACAACATACTGAACGCGACAACGAGCAGTTCTAAAGAAATTTGTCTTCGCTCGAGATGATTTAAAAGCGCATAGCTCCAGCGACTTCCTCATATCGGAGGGAAGAGCGTTCCAGACGGCCACGGAGGCGCATCTCAAAGCGCGCGATGCGGTGACCGTCTCTGTTCGGTGGCCAGTCAAAAGCCGCCGCTGCTAAGGATGACCGGGAGCTCGAGCAATGGTTGATGCTCCTGGACAACGTCACCAAGGTGTCACGGCTCATTTGTGGCAAGCACCTCGCGTGTGTAAAATCGGCAAGATTTCTCCCCGATTGTAAATGTCCTGGCCTCAATGCGGCCCGATGTGAGCGTGACCCCGGGGCTGACGAGCGTGACCCCGGGGCTGACGGGCGTGACCCCGGGGCTGACGGGCGTGACCCCGGGGCTGACGGGCGTGACCCCGGGGCTGACGGGGGTGACCCCGGGGCTGACGAGCGTGACCCCGGGGTTGACGGGCGTGACCCCGGGGTTGACGGGCGTGACCCCGGGGCTGACGGGCGTGACCCCGGGGCTGACGGGCGTGACCCCGGGGCTGCCGAGGGGGAGACGGGTGGAGGGATGACGACTACCATCTCGCCACGTGTCGTCGTTGAGGCTCCCAGGAATTTAGCAGCTTGAAATGTACCCCCCACCACCCCCCGTCCGTCCGTCCGTCCGTCGTGAGGCATCGCCATCAAACTCAGACACATAGGTGACGTCGATCGAGGCTATCGACCACTCGATACGATTCATATCGATTAACCATCCACCATGACCTTACACGGTTGGTGGGGGTGGGGGTGGCACAGCTTTGATTGGGGAGCCGACTGGCGGCTGATGCCGACCAAGAGTGGGCCTGGCCCTGCCGCGGGAATGTGGAAAGTAGCATTTTTCGTCTAGAAACCAAGTGACGCGGACGAGGAACGTTGCCTTCTACACAATACTGTATTACACGTATCGTCGCGATTGCGAATGTGTCGAAGTGTTGTGGGCTTAAAGAGTTACAAGTGTCCGATTGTAAACTCAGAAAAAGAGGTTACGCAGCAGCAGTATAAGAAAACTATTTTAAACTACCATTGGAACCTCATTTGCCAGTAAAAAATATGACAATTGGTTTTTTACCCTTCTATCTGGCAACATGACTGCAGGTTTTGTGGTCTATGCAAACATGACTCCTTGTAAAAAAGGTGTCAGTTTTGTTGCCAGATAGAAGGGTAAAAAACAATTATCATATTTTAAACTATTTAATTTTATGTTACCACGTAAGGCCCACTGAGCTGTATAGCTCTTTTTCATAAGCTACCTGGCCACAAATGATAGCCCAACGAAGTGGCTCATGCCGTGTGCAAAGTTATAGCAGCCAAATAATCTGAACGCGTGAGGTTTGATTCTAAATGCGGAGGGGTGGAGAACAAAAAAAACGGAGGACCCGGAGAGAGAGAGAGAGACACGCAAACTCCAAATACACAGCAGCAGCAGGCGTCAGGGTCGGGATCGAATCCACGACCTCCTGCGTACCAGGCGAGGTAGTTAACATCTCCTAGCCACCGTGATGATGATGAGAGAGAAAGAGAGACACGCAAACTCCAAATATAGAGCAGCAGGCGCCAGGGTCGGGATCGAATCCACGACCTCCTGCGTACCAGGCGAGGTAGTTAACATCTCCTAGCCACCGTGATGATGATGAGAGAGAAAGAGAGACACGCAAACTCCAAATATAGAGCAGCAGGCGCCAGGGTCGGGATCGAATCCACGACCTCCTGCGTACCAGGCGAGGTAGTTAACATCTCCTAGCCACCGTGATGATGATGAGAGAGAAAGAGAGACACGCAAACTCCAAATATAGAGCAGCAGGCGCCAGGGTCGGGATCGAATCCACGACCTCCTGTGTACCAGGCGAGGTAGTTAACATCTCCTAGCCACCGTGATGATGATGAGAGAGAAAGAGAGACACGCAAACTCCAAATAGAGAGCAGCAGGCGCCAGGGTCGGGATCGAATCCACGACCTCTTGCACGCCGGGCGAGGGAGTTAACATCTCCTAGCCACCGTGATGATGATGAGAGAGAAAGAGAGACACGCAAACTCCAAATATACAGCAGCAGGCGCCAGGGTCGGGATCTAATCCACGACCTCCTGCACGCCGGGCGAGGGAGTTCACATCTCCTAGCCACCGTGATGATGATGAGAGAGAAAGAGAGACACGCAAACTCCAAATATACAGCAGCAGGCGCCAGGGTCGGGATCGAATCCACGACCTCCTGCACGCCGGGCGAGGGAGTTCACATCTCCTAGCCACCGTGATGATGATGAGAGAGAAAGAGAGACACGCAAACTCCAAATATACAGCAGCAGGCGCCAGGGTCGGGATCGAATCCACGACCTCCTGCACGCCGGGCGAGGGAGTTCACATCTCCTAGCCACCGTGGCTCCCCAAGGATGCGTGCGACTTGTGGATACTACGGCAGTTTCGTTTCATCGGGTTGCAAACTTCACGCGTGAGTGGTTCCTCCTCGCGAGCCGTTTTCAGTTGTTTCGTACACAACTTGGTACTGTGACGACGGGAAGTCACCATCACGAGCATCGGCCGTCATCATCGTCGTCGTCGTCACCACCACCTATTTTTTTTACATATATCCCATCCACTCATCTCGTTTCACCTCGACCACCGTCTTGTCCCATAGTTCACTGCACAGCACCTTGGTTTAGGCGCGGCGTAAACGTATAAGATAAGAGCAGCCCCTCTAGATGTGGTCACATTTATATGCCCTGTAAATATCATCATCAACAACAACAACAATCTTCACTACAAAGACAAACATCGCTCAGCAATAAGCAATTTATATTACACAATCAACGTTGATCAGAGCAGCCTCTCCAGATGTGGTCACATTTCTATGCCCTATAAATATCATCATCAACAACATTCTTCACTACGACGACAAACATCGCCCAACAATGAGCAACTGATATTATACAATCAACGTTGATAAGAGCAGCCTCTCCAGATGTGGTCACATTTCTATGCCCTGTAAATATCATTATCATCAACAACAACAATCTTCACTACAAAGACAAACATCGCTCAACAATGAGCAACTTATATTACACAATCAACGTTGGTAAGAGCAGCCCCTCCAGATGTGGCCACATTTCTATGCCCTGTAAATATCATCATCATCAACAACAACAATCTTCACCACTAAGACAAACATCGCCCAACAATAAGCAACTTATATTACACAATGAACGTTGATGGCACGGCTCGGCTCAAACCTCGCTTTGGCTCAATTAAGCCGGCCTTGAATGAGCGTAGCTCCATGAGCTGAGCCTGATCCGAGCCGTGTCATTCGAGGTGGAAAACCAGAGCCGATCCGTGATTAGGAACACGGCCCTCGAAGTAATCGTCGTTGTCACCATCATCATCATCATCACAACCACCACCGTCTTCCAACCATCACTGGTGTCATCATCAGTCATCATCAATCATCTTCAACAATAGCGAGCATCTTTTTCGATTGAAAGCTTTCGTGACTGCAGGGATTCATCTTCTTGGTTCTTTCGGTAAAGTCACGTAGAAGGGAAGTAAAAAAAAAACATAATAAAATAATTCTCACGACGTTTCGGCCACAACGCAAGCAGCCGTCCTCAGTTGAAGACCAGGTCTGTCGGGGAGACAGACCTGGTCTTCAGCTGTCTCCCCGACAGATCTGGTCTTCACATGAGGACGGCTGCTTGCGTTGTGGCCGAAACGTCGTGAGAATTATTTTATTATATTTTATTTTTATTATTTTATTACTTCCCTTCTACGTGACTTTACCGAAAGAACCAAAAAGCGAGCATCTTCATTCAAACATTTACATCGCCTTCAGTGCTACTCGCGTCGTCTGTGGGCTCCAGTCGCTGAAAAGTGGTCAATCGGAGAAGGTGATTCATTGCGCAGTGTGTGTGTTAGTATGTTGAACTTCTTTTGCACCGTACGTCGCCGACCGTGCTAATCGGAAGTGCGTAAAGGAGGGGCGAGCGATGTGGAGGGGGTGATCAGTGCAGGGGTGGAGCACACTCACCAACCCTGACCCCGAGTCTAAACTTAAACTGTAAACTATTATTTTTGTTCTCGAATTTGAAGCTTTCGTGACTGCAAGGATTCATACTCTTAGGTTTTTTCGGTAAAGTCACGTAGGGAAATAAATAAATAATAAAATATACATAATAAAAATAATAGAATACAACGGAAACTTGTGTTGCCTCCGAAACGTCGTGATTTATTATTTTATTTCTATTATTTCCTCTATTTTTACTATATTATTTATATATATATTTTACATACGTGACTTTACCGAAAAAACCTAAGAGTATTATTTTTGTATTTTATCAGGTGTAAGGCTCACTGAGCTGGACTGCGTATCTCTTTCTTTGGAAGCGACCTGGCCACAAATGATAGCTTAACGTAGTGGCTCATCACGTTGAAATGTATATCAGCCAAATACTTGTTGAGTCTAAATGTGGAGGTAAAAAACCGGAGGACCTGGAGAAAAAAATCCCCACGGTTGAGAGAGAGAGACACGCAGATTCCAAACATACCGCAGGCATTGTCAGGGTCGGGATCGAACCCACGACCTCCTGCATACGAGGAAAGGTAGTTAACATCTCGCCAGGGTAGGCGCCACGTATCAAGCCAGCCGCAAACAAGGGCACTCTCTCCCTCCCTCCTACTGACCTGCCACCAACCCCACGTCCATGCCAGGGTGACCCTTGCCAATATTTCATCATTCGTACGTTTTGCCGTGTGCCGTGGGGTTTTTTGTTGTTATTATCGCAAGTTGGCTTCCACGACTCCTTTCCTTTCATCCCTCATCGATGCCACGTTCTTGCCGAGGGGGGCATCATGTTTTATTTTTCTAAAAACTTAATTGTGACCGCAATATCTCGGGTTCTCAATTCGTTATTTAACTCCCGCGGAGGTAAAGCCGTCAGTCGCCGTTTTTTGTTAATGCGTTCTGTGCTTCTCAGGGTCGGTTTGCGTGTGTGTGTTTGTGTGTGTAGGTGCTCGCTAACAGCACTTGCCCCTACAGTCGGTTAAGGCTATACGGGGGATCTTTGTCTTTGTTTATGTGTGTGTGCTTTTGTGGGGAGCGGTAGTGTAGCGGTTAGCGCGCTGCACTACTCACGGAAAACACCGGTGACGATTTCTAAACCGGTCCTGGGCGTCCCCTAGGTCGACTCGGCCTCAAATGAGTACCTGGTGCGATGTGTAAACATCGCCGCTAGGGAGACAAAGGCGGCCGGGCGTGGTGTTGGCCAACCACAACCCCCTCGTGTGCCGTGCCGGCCTTTATAGGTGCTCGCTAACAGCACTTGCCCCTATAGTCTGTTAAGGCTATACGGGGGATCTTTGTCTTTGTGTGCTTGTGACGAATGTTGCTCGGATGTCACTTTTCAAGGGCGGAATTCTACGGAGAACAAACTGAAATCGACTTCCTCAGACGCATAAACCCACAGAGATGAAAACGATGTAACCATCACGACACGAACCAGAGTAGAATGAATTGCGTTGACATTCCCTGCTACACAGAGACCACAGACTTGACTCGTATGCGATGGGGGTCTACATGCAATAATGTGCAGGGCAATCTCTGATGGGGATATCTCAATCTTCTGTAGATGCCGCCGGTTATTCACGCGCTGCAGATCGAGATGTCACCACCGTCATCCATAGCGCGGTGCGTGAACTTACGACTTTCGGTCCGAACTTCCGGACGTGTTTATTCGTATCTCTGAAAGTTCGCGAGTCAAATGTTCATAAGAAGAGGAGTCCCGTACGCAACAAGACAGGTAGAGTTTTAATAAGTATAACCCGTCAAAACAAAGTTTTTCACTATTAATCCTTTATATGCGTGGCGGCTAGAGTCCTCTCGTCCTTTGGCTTGAGATGGCTGCCACCTATGGGTCAGATGATTGCATTGGACCATTAAGCAATTGGTAATTAAATATAATATTTTTGTCCTAAAAAGTGTAAAATTTTGGAAAAAAAATTTCACGAACATTAATTGTCACGCACAACGAGTCTGTGTGGAAAATGTCAGCTCGATTGGATCACGGGAAGTGGGTTAAAAACGACCGAAAGATTTGCACGGTCCTAAGCAAGCAAGTGAACTTATTATAAAGGATTTTAAAACAATTTTAAATCAACCACCACTCCTCCGCCGCCTCCACCGTGGCGATGCGATTGTCACAGATTGATTTACGAATCCGAACCCTTGCCTCGTGGTGGTTACCACCTTGCTTTGTCATCGACTGTCATTTGTAAGTTTCGTTTTAACTCCCGCGATTCTCATTGTAACAGCGTGAATCTCAGGGGGCTTGGGGAGTTCGGTTATTAGGGTGTGCTTACAAATATTTTTTTAATCAGATTTTTAGCAGCTCGTTTGTATTGCCTCTTTATTGTTTAATTTGTATTCTTGTTGTCACCCCCCTGCATTAGTGTATAATTTGTATACGATTAGCATATCATTTGCGTACACTTTGCACTAGGGGGGAGGGGGGGGGTGAAAACACGTGGTGATAACACGTGGACCCTAACACGTGTGATGCAATACATATGTGTGTGGCAGAGGTGTTGGCGAAGAGATTTTAATCGGTGGATCGTTATTGCATCGTTACAGCCCCATAAACAACCAGCATCTTTATTTAGACCGGAGGAAACAGAAGGTGCTTATGAAGCCCTTTTTTCTCAGATGTCCATTCGAGGCGGGTGAGAAATGTCTCTACTCCAGGGTACAGCGAAGGTGTGCTCAGTGATCAAAACTGACACCTGGATTGTGAGTTTTGGAAGCCTTTCCATCATGCAACCAGACACCCACCGGTCTTTAATACGGCCTGTTCTCATCGAACGTGCTGAGTTATTGCCGTTGCTGAAGAACACCGCGTTATGGAATGATCGCGTTGTGATAAAACACATTCCTGCGGAGGGAGCTGGTAGGAACGTTGGGTTGCTCGGTCAATGGCCTGCAGGGTCAACGGCGGCGTGGTGTATTCCGCAAATATGCCCGACTGTGAGGGCGGGCACAAGCCGGCGTGAGTAGGTTAAACGTTGAGTTTTATAAGGGCACCACGGGGTGAGCAGCCTCTCCCCTCCCCACCCAGCCCCACCCCTCCCACCCCCACCCAGCCCCACCCCTCCCACCCCCACCCAGCCCCACCCTCCCCACTCAGCCCCACCCAGCCCCTCCCCACCCTCCCCTCCCCACCCTCCCCTCTCCACCCAGCCCGACCCCTCCCATTTTTGGATTCACGACGGACGGACGGACGCAATAATCCTCTGTGGGCTGGTGGAACCAGGTGGTTCCTACCAGTATAATACACAATTTGGCGGTGGGTGGGGGGGGGGTAAAGCACAGTCGGCGATGTCGCGTGCGATGCGTACGCGGGCCCGAACAAAGACTGAGGGGCGCGTGGCGTCGTGGGTCACGTCTCGATGCACCAGCAGCGTCTCCAATGCCTAGGTCCGTGGATGCCACACAGAGGGAGCCGTACGGCCGCTTTACTGCCACTCGCCATACGTGGTAGGCGGTCACTCGGTCGCGTTATGTATATATATGAAACAAACTCGTGTTCCCAAATAGATTCGTCGCGTTCTATTCTATTCGCGTTATGAAAATCACGAGAACGGACTGTAATTGATTTGCAATCACCAATGACTGCACATATGAAACTGTTTCGTTTACAATGGGTTGCCAGCAAAACGCGGAATGTTGGGTTCAACATTCTTTGTTGATCGGATATTTGGGATTATGCCCGTGCGCTCTTTTGCCAAAAAAATGTCCATTTATTATTGAATTGGTCAAAAATATTTCTGCGCTGCAACCTCCTGAAAAGCAGCCTTGAGACCCACTGAGGCTTTCCTGTGTAGTAACTGTTGCATCACAATCTCGTTATTTTTTTTATAAACCCGATTCGCTTGGAACCATCGAGGTATATGTAGGGCGGGTATTTATAAAGTATCGGAACACGTGAATACCTGCAGAGAGATGACAGTTTTACAAACATTACGGAAATGCTTGCACCGGGCACGAGAGGTTATTTGTTTAGGGCGACGGTCGGATGTGCGACTTAGACAAATGTCATCGTGATACTGTATTACGTGTACCGATCAGCCAGTGCGAGAGATAAAAAGACGTCGATCGAGATATATATATATATATTTGCGGATCGCACGACGAAGCAGGACATTGATTATCAACGGGTGCACTTAAAGGAGCGGTTCTAAAATGAAACCCCATTGAATTGCGAAAAAAGTTGCATTCTAAGTTATTTGTGGAACAGTTTTATTTCGGGATTATACGACGCTACGAAATGTAAGACGCACCCAAACGTGCCCGGTGTTATACAGATATGATTGTAAGATGCACTCCCTAAACTTACGCTTTGAAATGCAGGGCTGGGGAAAAAACTCCTGCCTCATCATCCAGAGCCAGTAGTTCTTCACCTGGGATGCGAGATGCCCTTTCTGGGGGTGCGAAACGTGGCCAGACTTTTTGTTTAGAAGATAAATAATCGAGAACACAAATTAAACATGGGC